CCGCGCCTTGTGGAATCAGATCCGATTGGCACAGGAGGAGAGTTCTCTTCCTTCTCCAGCAGAGCGTCTGGTGGATTTGAACCACGTGCCTTTGGGAATTGCAGGGCAGCGTCTTGCCACTAGGCGACCAGAGCTCCCTCTGTCCTAGTTTTGACTGCGATAATAAGCTTCTCCAATGATTCCTTCCACAAATGTAGTCAATCTGATTCTTAACAGTCCATCAGGTGAAGTCTGTACGTAGTCAATTTGTGTTTTTTAGAAAAGATATTAGCAATGAAAAAAATCATTGAATATACAAACTTCGAGAATTCAGTTTCTGGCCTCCTTTCTGCCACTAAGTCTGTACTTTCTATCATTCCTTCCTCATTATCTCCATCTTTTACATTCTAGTCACCAATTATCATTAACGCTGCTTGATTGCATGTTTGATCGATTTCAGACTGCACAATTTGTTAAAAATCTTCAGTTTCTTCTCTTCTGCGTTAGCTGTTGGTGCATATATATGACTAACCGTTGTTTTAACAGGTCTTCCTTGTATGTGTATGAGTAGTATCCTATTACAATTACTTTAGGATGGAACTTGATAGTATTTTTAATTGTGAATGCAACACCATTCTTCCTGTTTTTCATTCCCAGTATAGTATATCATGTGACTGATTCAAAGTGGCCAATGCCAGTCCATCTCATCTCACTAATGCCTAAAATGTCAATGTTCAGGCGTCCTATTTAATTTTTGACAACTTCTAGTTTTCCTCCATTCATGCCACATACATTCCACATTCAGATTACTTCACCTGTTTCTCCTCATTTTGATTTCTAATCTGGGCTCTACCTCAGAGAAGCAATGGTAGCAAGTGTAAAAATGCTGAGTTATATTCGAGGAACCGCAAGTAATCTAATGTGACTGAAAGGAAATGGAACCTCAGTTGAGCCGACCGTGAAGGTCACTAGATTTTCACCAATGAAGTCTCTGTGATAGTGGGCCTTCTCCCTCCAGGAACCCTTCTCAGCTCTCCAAGTTTCCATTCCTCACCCCATCGGACCACGCCCACAAAGGGGTGTGCCTATATGTGGCCGCGCCCCCACATCCTGGCGCGAGCCATCGCCTCAATTCATTTTCTTACGGCGGGCAGAGTTGGAGGCGCGGTTTGATGACGTCACGGTCATTGACAGCGTGTGGAGGCGGTGGTGGGAGAGGCTGACATGGTGGCAAGGGGGCAGGTAAGAAAGAGACTGGGGGTCCCAGATGATGTCCTACCCGGCCCGAGCGCTAGGAGGCGGGCAGTTTGTGGGTCGCGTGGCGAGGTCTTTGACCTCAGAGTGGTTTGGCTGAAGCCGAGCTTGAATGCTCTGGAGCCGGAGCCTGGGCTAGGGGGTGTGTTGGAGTGGAGGCTACATCCAGGCTGAGTAAAGACGAAGAGTTCGGACATCGGACTGGCAAAGCCTTGGGGTCCGCACTCGGGTGGGGGTCGTCTGGAGCTAAGGGTCTGGACAAGGAGATATGTCTAAGGTTTCGGCCTTGCGGGGAGGTGGGTCAGACTCTCCAATCTCTGTCCCTGTCCCAACTTTTCACCCCCTCCCTTCTCCCCGTGTCTCCTGCGGCTGCAGGGACAGCATGTCTAGACTGGGGGCCCTGGGTGGCGCCCGCACCGGCCTGGGACTGTTGCTGGGCACCGCTGCGGGCCTTGGATTCCTCTGGGCGTTTTACATCCAGCGGTGGAAACGAACTCAGCGCCATGGCCAAGGCCAGAGCCTACCCAACTCCCTGGACTACACGCGGACTTCAGAGCCAGGACGTCAGGGTAGGACACACGCCCCCCACGGCCCGGTCATGGTAGCTGCAGATGGATGGACCTGTGGGACAGGGAGAGCCTGAGGTGCTTGCGGCTTTCACCCTCTTGGGACGCTTACAGACAAGGAAAGCAATCCTCTTCATTCTTCCCTATAATTTCAGGACAGTGTATTGTGAATAAGACCTTTTAGCTTTCGCTTTTAGTTTTGACTGCATGTGTGTGTTAAAATCACTTACTGTTGGTATAGTTTGGCTTAGCATGTAGTAAATGAGGCAAAAAGAATAATTAATCTTATAAGAAGAGTTAAACTATTTTAAGTAAGTCTGTAGAATTTAAAGGGGACCCTGAAGACTATATAGTTCATTAGTTTTGTCTTTGTGAGGAGATCAAAATTCAAATGATTGAGTAATTGTTCTAAGGTTATCATGGAGTAGTTAAGTGGCAGGGTTGGGCCTGATCACCTGGTCCACTGGACTTTTCCACAGTACAGGTCAGGGAGCTCACTTAATGCAGTTGAAGCTCAGCGTGACTGGAAGCAAGCCACAGCTGAAATGGTACTTTCAGTTTTGCAAAACTTTCATGTTGACTCATTGGAATAAAGAATCTAGGGCTGATAGTGTAAACCTTCCTGCTCCTTCCTCATTTTCATGGAATAGTGATTAGATCTTTTTATCCCATATTAATTATGGTTTCTCAGATTACTGATTTCAGATCTGACTTGTTATGTTGGCCTGGAAAACTTAATTTTGGAGGACAGCCTTTAGAGAGTTATTACAAGTATTAAATAATTCCACTTTTATAAGAAGACAAAAATGAATATATACAATATATACACATACATATATAGGATCCAGTGATCATTGGTGATTACTAGACATAGGTGGGGGAGGAGGTGGGAATCACTCTAAATGGTATCTGTTGTTTTTAGTGTTGGGAGAGATAGCACAGAATGTGGTATAATGATCACAGCTTGGCCAAAGTAAATCATGCCAGTAAGACAGGAAGCTTGTGCTAACGAATGTGGCATATATAATTTGACAATAACCAAAAAATTAGTATATAGTTACATATGTAGGTGTATAGCCATATATTTGCTTGGAAAAATAAGAGAAATGGTCAGTGAACGAGGAAGGTCCTCAATGATATGGATTTACTACAACAATGAGCTTGAGCATGTAAGAATACACAGGATACCCATCAACAAACTTATGGATAGAAAAACTATGGTAGATCCACACAGTGGAATGCTATGCAGCGCTGAAAAACAATGAAATAGTAAAACATTATACAACATGAAGGAGCCTTGAGGACATTATGCTAAGTGAAATATCTCAGCCGTAAAAGGACAAATACTGCATATAACACTGCTGTTATAAAATAGGACAGACAGAGGGAGAGAATGGGGAAAGAGTGGATAGATAATGAAACTGCATTAGAACAGATGAAGGGAAGACCTGTTTGAAAGGAATGTATGATTATTCATTACATGTTTGAGAACAATCTGAAACAACGGGTGCATTGCGGGGTGCACTGGGGCATGGAGAAGGGAGGCAGGAAATGTATAACAATGAAGAAATAAAAGACAGAAAAAAGAATGCACAGATAGGGCAACGTTTTACTTGTTTGTGAGCTCACTAAGAGGGAGTTCAGTGGCCTAGTGGAAAGAAGCTGTACTGCAGTCCTAAAGGCATACAGTTCAAATCCACCAGTTATTCCTTGGGAGAAGATGGGCAGTCTCCTCCCTTGTGATTTACCGCCTGTGAAAACACATTGGAGGGTCAGCTTTTGGTTGGTTCTGACTTGACAACACACAACAACAAGGTCACTGTGACTCATGGTTGACTTGATTGCACCTGTCAACAGCAAGGCATATTATCTGTACTATTGTGTGAAGGCATTTTTTTTTCCATAGAGGACACAGTTACAGACACTTCTCGGACATAAGCAAACACCTTTTGAGATTAGTTTTCTGTTTTTGAAGGCTTAGAACTTGAGTCTCATGTAATAATGTAATCAGTTGGCATAAAATAGTTTAAAAAGTTTATTTTCTTTAACCTAATGAGGTGAGTAGAATCTGAAGTCTTAAGACAATTTGAATTTAAGATAAAACTATTGGTCTCTGCTCTTCAAGAGTAAGAAAGAAACCAAATTCCCAGAGAAGAGGCAGGTTTACAGGCCTTACATGAGCCATGACTGCTTTTATCCCAAGACTAGAAGAAGTAGATAATGCCCAGCTATCACTATCCACTGTTCTACTCCAGAGCACAATATTTGGCTCCTGTTAGAATGGGAGAAAACATGGAGCAGAGCCTGGATTTGGTAGACCAATTGAGAATAGAAGGTTCCTGAGACTTGCCCTGAGGTAATCTTTAACCTTCAACTAAAACAATCCCCAGAAGACAACATTTAGTGAAGTAACAGAAAGACACACGCCAAAGCACATGAATATTATCCATGAGTTGGAAAAAAGTGTCTTTATGAGACCAAAATATCAACAATTACCCTGAAGCGAAAATAAAGGAGCAGGGGAATTAGAGTTCTGGGAAGAGACAACCAAAATCCAATGAAAAAGAGTGTTGACACATTGTGAAAAATGTTACTGTCACTAAATAATTTGTGTAGAAATTGTCAAAAGGGAATAGAATTAGCTGTGTAAAGTTTCCCTGAAAGCACAATAAATGATAAAATTAAAAAAAAAAAATGACCACCTTTACTAAGTGTGAGGACAGGGCAGCATGGGGATGGCCATGTCTGACCTCTACTAACTCCATAAAATAGAAATGCCCCCATCAATAGCATCCAGTACAAAACCAATTCTCATGAGTTAGGACATGTCCACCATACTCCCTCATCTATTTCGACCAGTTCCACCAGCAATCTTGCTGCCCTACTGGGTCCAAAATCCATTGTAATATCTACACAGACCTCACAGAACCGTACTTATAATTATGGGAAATATTAGGGAAGTTAACAGATTATAATTCAGAGAGGCAACAGTATACACTTTCTCTGTCAGGACAGCTCTTCTGAAGCATGCTCACAGACCCTTCAGCCTTCAGGCCAGTGTTACAAAGCTCTTTAATTCTACCGCTGACAGCATTTCCCACTGCTCCCCACTGCCCCCAAGGCCTCCAGCAAGCCTGGACGAAGTCCGCTGGCTCTGATTCTGAAGCAGCAGTCCTAGGTGAGCTGTGTCTCACATCAGGTCTTTTAGTCTCTGCTGTGGTTGCTATTGCATTCCTGTAGTGTTGCAGACTGGGGGTAAAGTACTGTAGGTTTTGATCTGTGATGATGCAGGAATCTCTGGCCCCAATGGATGTGTACTGCATTTTCTGCTTCTTTCCTGCTGGAAGTTAAAGTCTCAGATTTTTGCCACTCAAACGGCTTAATATAAACTGGTAGAATGGCAAAACTAGCCAATCGCCTTGTAGATAGACTAACATCCTATTTCCATGTTTCCACCCAGCCATGTGGCAAAGTCGAGGACAATGGCCTCGGGAAGCCATTTTGAACAGTAGACCCATTATACCACACTGGCACTATTTTATAATCTGGTCGTAACCCAGGATTGCAGATGTACTTGCTGTTCATTGCCTTTTCTTGAGTTTTGTTTGTTTGTAATGTCTTCTGAAGTTGGGAGAAGGTGGCCCAAGGCTCACTCTTGCTTTGTTGTTGTTGTTGTTGTTATGTGCCGTCGAGTCGTTTGCAACTCATAGCGACCCTATGTACAACAGCCCTAAACCCTGCTCTATCCTGTGCCAATCGCATTGCCTCTGACACACCACCCCGATTACCCCAGTCACTGAATAGAGGGTCTTCCCCTCCTGCGCTGTCCCTCTACTCTACCCAGCATGATACCCCTCTCTAAAGACCTGTCTCTCCTTACAACATGTCCAAAGTATGTCAAACGAAGCCCCAGAATCTTTGCCTCCAAGGAGTAGCCTGGTTTAACCCTCTCTAGGATGAATCTGTTTGTTTTCTTGGCAGTCCATGGTACATTCAATACTCTTCTCCAGCACCACAGCTCAAAGGCGTCAATTCTCCTTCTATCCTCCCTAGTCATTGTCCAACTCTCTGATGCATAACAAGTGATTGCAAAAACCATGGCCGGTATCAGGCACACCTTAGTCTCCAGAGAGACACCGCTGCTCTTGAGTACTTTAGAGAGGTCCCTAACAGCAGACTTTCACATCGCAATTCATCTTTAGATTTCCTGGCTACTGGTGCCAAGAGTGTTGACCGTGGAGCCAAGCAAACTGAAGCTGTGAACAATCTCAACCTAGGAAGAACTTTCAAGCATGGAAATACAAAGGAAGAGGAACAGTTGTAAGCAGACACTAGTGATTGGAACATGGAATGTGAGAACCATGAATGTAGGAAAATTAGAAATTGTTAAGAAAGAAATGGAACGCATAAATATTGACATACTAGGCATTGGAGAGATGAGATGGACTGGCATGGGGCATTTTGAGTCAGATAATCATATGATATATTATTCTGGAGATGAAAAGGTGAGGAAAAATGGAGTTGCTTTCATAGATAAAAAAGAAATTTCTAGATCTATCTTGAAGTACAACATTGTGAGTGATAGGATTATATCCATATGCTTACAAGGAAGTCCAGTGAACACCACTATCATTCAGATATATGCACCAACAACCAGAGCCAAAGAAGAAGAAATAGATGATTTCTACCAACTCTTGCAGTCAGAGATAGATCGAAAATGCAATCAAGATGCATTGATAATAACGGGCAACTGGAACGCAAAAGTTGGGAACAGAGAAGAAGAATCAGTAGTTGGAAAACATGGACTTGGTGACAGAAATGAAGCTGGAGATAGAATGATTGAATTTTGCACAATGACTTATTCATTGCAAATACGTTTTTTAAGAGACATAAACGCAGGTTATACACATGGATTTCACCTGATGGTATGCATAGGAATCAGATCAATTACATCTGTGGAAAAAATCGCTGGAGAAGCTCAATATCAGCTGTGAAAACTAGGCCAGGAGCTGATTGTGGAACAGACCACTCTTGAATATTGTTGAGTGGGCAGTATGGGATGGTACCAGGTTATAAGGTTTTCTTAACAAATTATTTATGCTTGTCTGAGTGTGTGCTTTGCCTTCATGATCTCCCCTCCCCCTCCATTTCACACTTTCTAGTCCATTTGCCTAGTTGGTTGGTTCTCAGTTTGCTGGTTGAAACCCACCTGCAATTCGGCTCAGGACTGGATCAGTAGGACTTGGTGTGGAGTTTTCCCTGTGGGATCTGTATGGATTTTTCCCAGTGTGCCTGTTCTCTCAACTTGAGAAGAGCTCAGAGACTTTTTTTTGCTATTCTTTGTGAAATACTAGAATTTTTAAAAAATTAATTTTAATGAAAGTTTACAGAGACTTAGGGTTTTCAGTCATTCATTGTTGCACTTTTCTCCCTACCCACTGCCTCCCCACAATTTGCTCTTCTCCTTGAAAAGAAAAAAATTCTTTCATTGTTATGCAATTCCCTCCCCTGCCCTCCCCAGTCAACTCCACTATGCAGCCTTCACTCTGGACTTCTGTAATGACAAGAATACCCATTCATATATCCCTTTTAAACAGTTCCCTCCCTCAACTGTTTCAATGCAATATACAACATTCCTCACCTCCTTTTCTGTCTTCCATCAACCCTGATGTCAGTCTGTTTTACAACAGTGGCACTATGCAGTATCTGTCCCTTTGTGTCTGAGATATTTCAGTCAGCATAATGTCCTCCAGGGTCACCCATTTTGAGTAATATTTCATGAGTTCTTTGTTTTTCAATGCTGCATAGTATTCCATTGTGTGAATATATTAGAGCTTCTCTATCTGTTTGTTTGTTGATGGGCACTTGGGTTGTTTTCAGCTCTTTGGTATTGTGAACAAAGCTACGATAAACATGGGTGTGCATATATCTGCTTGAGTTGCAGTTATGGTTTCTTTAGGGTATATTCCCAGTAGTGGAATTGCTGAGTCAAATGGTATCTCTATTTGCAACTTTTTGAGAAAATACCATACAGCCTTCCATAGTGGTTGCGCCATTTTACACTCCCACCAACAATGAATAAGGGTTCCAGTTTCTCCACAACCTCACCAGCATTTGATGTTTGCTATTCTGCTAAATATTGCTATTCTTACTGGAGTGAGATGATACCTCATAGTTGTTTTGAGAAATATTGGAATTTGAATGTGTTTCATTTTCATTTTGCTGCATGTTTAGTATTACCTGCGTGTTGTTGTTATGTGCCATTGAGTTGGGATGGAGTAGAAAATTACTTATACATAGATGAAACTGGTTTTCAGAGGTTGTAAATTGCATGGGAGGAGATTGCCCATCTTCCTCCTGATAAATAGCTAGTGGGTTCAAATCATCTGGCTTTGGATTGGAAGCACAACTACTGACAAGTGCCTGGTTATTATTTAGTCAGATCAAGGCTTTTCTTTCACTCTAGTAGGGTAGCTGTTCTGTGTTCTACTGTACACTCTTGCAAACATCTCACCTTCTCTGCTGTGATATGCCACACTGCTCATGGGTTCTGGGGTTCTTGAAACGGAGGGTTCTTGTTTAGAGATTATTGTTGTTATTGTTATGTACTGTCAAGTTGGAACCAACCCATACCTGGCCCTCCAGTGGGTTTTCAGAGGCAGTAAATTTCATCCTCTTTCCTTGGAGCAGCTGGTGAATTTGAACCATGTGTCTTTGGATTGGCAGCACAGCTCTTTAAGACTAGACCACCAGAGCTCCCTTTGATATTAGAACCTTAATTTCTTTCCCCCAATTTCTGCCTGTTCCTATGGTTTTATTAGCTGGGATGAGATTAAAGATTAGAACTTTATTTCCACTCCCCCCCTATTTCCATGATTTATTTATGAAAACAATGCCATTTGAACGTTATATGTCTTCTCTGTAAGTTCAACTTGGATGAAAAGCAAGTGTTCTTGAATTCTAAGTGAAGATTCCTTATTTTCTGTCATCCACGGTGACACTGTCTCCTGTCTCCCTCCTTTCAGTGATGCTGATGCGGCCAGTCCCAGGTGAGGCTGGAGATGCTGCAGTGCTGCCAAGCCTTCCACGGGAGGGGCAGGAGGAGGTGCTGGACCGCCTGGACTTTGTGCTGAACAGTCTCGTGGCCCTACGACGGGAGGTGGAGGAGCTGAGGGGCAGCCTGCAAGGGCTTGCTGGGGAGATTGTCGGGGAGGTCCGGTGAGTCCAGGTCCTTCTGCTGCTTTTACCCCAACTTATCCTTGCCTCTCCAATTTTTTAGCTGCGGTGTGTTCTGGCCCCTGCTACTTGTATTGAAGTAGGTCATTGATTTCATTTATGGCTTCTCCTAATTTACGGTGAAGTGCATTCGTACCTTGCCTTGCACAAATTCCTTGCCCTTGCACCCTCTTACAGCATCTGGAAGTCTGTCCTGTCCATCTGGTCTGCCCATGTAGGCTGGAGCCAGAGTGGCCCTTCTTGTTCTTCTGAGGTGGAGCCCCGAGAGTTAGTTTTCTCTGCCTTTAGCCCCTTTGTGAGGAGTGGTCAGAAGCTTTCTCGTGGGGAGGGACGAGCCAGGCTGGATGGAGCCTAACAGCACCCTCCTGAATGGGGCCTACTTTCAGATCCCACATGGAGGAGCACCAGAGAATGGCCCGGAGGCGAAGGCTCCCATTTGCCAGAGAGAGAAGCGACTCCACTGGCTCCAGCTCCATCTACTTCACAGCCACCTCTGGAACCACACTCACAGATGCTGAGAGCGAAGGAGGGTGAGTCAGCTCTTTTTATGTTGGGGTGGCTGCCGCCAGGCTGTTTTCAAAAATAATGCTAGACCAATCTATTCTAAATAATTTTTGGAACAATGTATAGGTATAAGTAAATAAAATACAGAACAGTTGAAGGGAGCTCTGGTGGCCTAGTGGCAAGAAGTTGTGCTGCAATCCCGAAGGCTCAAATCCACCAGATGCTCCTCTAGAGAAGGCTGGGCAGTCTCCTCCTGTACTAGTCAGATCTGATTTGACGGCACACAACAAGGAAAAAAACCCATACAGAGTAGCTGAACAACAACAACAAAAAATTATCCAGTTTCTGTTATGCAGACATAATGACATAATATACACTTTTCTCTCTTGTAGCACTGGTTTGGGTATTTTTCGATGTTATCCCAAGAACTTGCAAGAATTGTTTTGTTGACATAATTTCTTTCATTGAGTGTGTGAGCCAGGTCTGGAGTTTTCCAAGCACTAGACGGGCCCTCTGCCCTGGATCTTCTCACCTTCCCATGAGGGAGGCTCTACATGCCGCCAGCTCTGCAGTGGGAGGTGGCTGAGCCAAGTACTCGATGGCCCAGCAGGTTTGAATAAAGCTTTGTTGTGAGGTAGGGCCACAGGCAGGATCTAGTGGGCTGCTTTCTTCTAAGCCGGGCCAGGCCAATGCTTTTTTATTTTAAATCACTAGCCCCCTTTTGAAACTCATCCCAAGGCTGGAGTCTGAATGAAGATCTGTTCCTTGTGCACCTGCTGCTCAGTGCAGCGTCGGCCTTGTCCACTGCTAGCTCGTTCATCCGAGGGGCCTGCAGGATTCAGAGGCTGACCCTCCTCTGCTAACCTTTTCCCCTCCTCAGGGCAAAGATTAGTATCACCAACAGTCAAGCCTTATACAAGGTCATGGTGATGACCATGCACGAGAAACTAGAAAATCAGCCATTCAGGATGATTTGTGTGGGTTTGGGCCTCTTTGCCCAAAACAATTTGTTATATTTGCTACCATTCTTTTCATTTGCTCTGGTGGCCCAGTGGCAAGAAGCTGTGCTGCAATCTGGAAAGCACGCAGTTTGAGGCCACCAGCCGCTGTGCGGGAGGAAGATGGGCAGTTTCCTCCTGTGCAATTAACTGCCTCTGAAAACCTGCCAGAGGGTCAGCTCAGGGTCGGTTCTGACTCTGCGGTGCACCACCAGCACAACCACCACTGCCACCATTCTCCATGTACTACCCACTGTCCTAAACTTTTTTCCAAAATGTGATTTGAGTAAAAGTTTACAAAACAAAATTAATTTTTCTCTCAACCATTCATATACACTTTGTTTTATAACATTAATTACGATACCCACAATGTAATGACACTTTTCCCACTTCCTGTAATTCTCATTTCCATTAAACCTTCCATCCTACTCTTTCCTGCCTTCTGGACTGCAGCCTTGGGCAAATGCAGCCCTTTTGACCTTACAAGGGTGGTTATTGTATTTCAGAGGGGAGTACCACCCTGTGTTACTGGTTACCTTATAGGACTGTCTGTTGTTTGGTACATAAACTGTGACAATGGACTTATGTGCATTAAAGGATTGTAGAGGACACAGGATCCAGCAGGGTTTCAGTCTGTTGTACCAAATGGCACCTAAAACCAACCACAACAACAAATTGCTTGGCTGAAAGTTGAGTTGTATTCCAGGTTCAGTTCGGAGGGTAGCATAGTCTCGGGGTTTTGCCAGTCTCTCTTGTCCAGCAGTCCTGGTCTGTGTTTGGTTTTGAGTTTTATTTCCCTATTCCTCCCACTCTGTTCAGGATCTTCTACTGTGATCCCTTTTAGAGTGGTCAGTGGTGGTTGCAGAGCACCATCTAGTTCTTCTGGTCTCAGGGCCACAGACGTTTAGGTTCACTTGACCATTAGTCCTGTTAATGAATTGTTTCAGTACATTTTTCTTTTCTTCCCTCTTGTTCTGAACAGGGAGAGACCAACAGTTGAACTTTAGATGACTGATTGCAAGCTCTTGCAATCCCAGTCACAAACCATCAAGGTCGTGCGAAGAACACGGTCCCTGTGGGCTACATATCAGTTGACTTTAATGTCCCCCAGGATTATGATCTCCAGGCCCCAGAACTGGCAACTCCTTCCCTCAAAGTGTTTGGTTAGGTTATGATTAAGAAGTTTACAAAGCATTGTCCCTGTTGGATCTGCTATATACATAGATGTTTTTATAGTATACACTGAAATGAATTTAGAAATATCATCTGCCAGACCTTGTATGGCCATGGGTGTGGTCCTTCATCTACCCATACCTGTGCATCTTGCCTGTCTGCCTGTACATCTGCTGTTGACAGGATTTCATATGGACCTGTGTCTTCAGTTGTATTATATTGATTATCCCCTTATTGTATATTGCCTTTCCCCCCCCACATCTCAATTTCTATCTCTTATCTATTTACTAATTAATTGTCACGCTTCTCTTTTTCCTTTCCCATCCCTACTAACCATCAAAGAATGAATCTTTCTGCATATGAATCTCTCTTTAGCTTTTTATAATGTTGTTGTCATTAGGTGCTTTTGAGTGGCTTGTGACTCATAGCGACCCTATGTATATTAGCTCTAAAACCTGCTCTATCCTGTGCCAACTTTACTGTCTCTGACATACCTACCCTCATTACCCAAGTCACTGAATGTCAGATGAAGCCTTAGAATCTTTGCCTCTAAGGAAGAGCCTGGTTTCACCCTCTCTAGGAGAAACCTATCTTTTCTCCTGGCAGTCCATGGTATATTCAATACTCTTCTCTAGCACCACAGTTCAAAGTCATCAATTCTCTTTCTATCATCCCGAGCCAATGTCCAGATCTCTGACACATAGAAGTAATTGCAAAGACCATGGCCTGGATCAGGCACACCTTAGTCTCCAGACTGATGTTGTTGCTCCTCAGTACTCTGGAGAGATCCCTGATGGCTGACTTTCCCAATGACTTTTCTCTTGATTTCCCAACTGCTGGTACCAAGAATGTTGACTGTAGAGCCAAGCAAACTAAAGCTGTTAACAATCTCAATCTCTTCACCATCTATCATAATGTTGCCATTTGGCCCAGTGGTAAGAATCTTTGTTTTCTTGATGTTGAGCTTCAATCCATATTTAAGTCTGCAGTCCTTGACCTTCTGTAGCAAGCACTTCAGGTCCTCCTCAGTTCCAGCAAGCAGAATTGTGTCATCGGCATAACACAGGTTGTTGATGAGTTTTCCTCCAATTCTAATGCCACATTCCTCCACATAGACTTCAGGCTCTTGGATGATCTATTCTGCATATAGATTGAAAAGGTATGGAGACAGGGTACATCCCTGGCATACACCCTTCCCAATTTTGAACCATGCAGTGTCTCCTTGCACTGTTCTGACAACTGGCTCCTGGTCCAGGTTTCACATTAGCACAATCAAGTGTTCTGGGATTCCTATTCTTCTCAGCGTTAGCCACAGTTGTTGTGATCTACACAGTCAAACACCTTTGCATAATCAATGAAACACAGATAGACATTCCTGTGATATTGTCTGCTTTCAGCCAAGATCCATCTAACATTAGCTACAATATCCCTAGTACCTCAGCCTCTTCTATACCCAGCCTGCCCATCTGGCAGTTCTCTGTTGATGTGCTGCTCTAGTCGTTTTTGGATAATTTTCAGCAGAATCTTACTTGCATGTGATATTAGATCATCATTAATAATATAATAGTGATCTTATATTTATCCTTGGAATAGAGATGTAGCCAGAGTGCTCCTTAGAAGCAAAGATTTTCTGAGTTTGTGTCACATGTTTTGGGCATATTGTCAGGATGGGCCAGTGCTTGGGAAAGGACATCTTGCTTGGAAAGGTAGAAGGTCATTGAAAGAGAGAAAATTCTCTTACCAGTTATATAGATTGACAGTGGGCTTAACACAGTGAAAATGTGAGGGTGGTGAAGACCAAGCAAGGTTTCTATCGTGTGTGTAGGATCACTGTGAGTCAGTTGACTTGATGGCACCTAACAGCAGCTTTTTTCCGATGGAGATCTTGAGACTTATTAAGATTTGATGCCCTGCCCGTTGTTATACAATTTCTAATGGGAGTCACCGTGCAGATGCAGCCCCTCTGACTGAGGTCCATTCTCAGAAAACTGGGTTCTGCAGGGGTAAGGGCATGAGGCCTGAGACATGGCTTGGTCCTCTGGTGTGAGGGTCCCTCAGGAAGATGTGCAGCTTGTGGTCCTTGGGAGGTCTGCCCATTGGCTGTCGCTTCAGTGCAGTGCAAGGGCAGAACTGAGGTACAGTGCTGTTTGGTCAGCCCGTCTTGCTTAAGTAATTTCAGCCTAGCTTCTTGTTTGGGCCATTATATGCCCTTTGTTGTCCTCACTTAGCTTTCTAAGAAAATTGAAAATACTACCAATCTCCTTTTCCACATCAGTGACACTGAGCACCTGTACTGGCTTTGATTGTTGCTCAGGTGTCTCTTGACCTACTTGAAGTCTTGGTGAAGAGCTCTAGTTATGTATCCATGTCGATAACTGCTGGGTTGAGTCATGACAGTCTCAAGGACTAGGAGGAGCCACCCTTTTCTATTCTCTGGGCTGAGAGATGCTTCTAAAGGGCTGAGGTAGAGGCAAAATGAAATTAATATTTAACATATATTTGGATTGCAAAGAGATGAGAAAGACTAGAGGTAGGTTATAGTGAACAGAGGCTTACAGATTCCATCTGTGGAATTCAAGTAAGCAGGCCACTTGGGTAATTGATGTTTGAAATTTGAAAGAGGGTCTGATAGGAGAGATTGTGTTCTGCTCAAAATCAGGACAGAGAACTCAGAGGCCTCAAGGAGGTGTAAAGAAGATGTACAAACTTTTGAGGTTAGTAAGAGCAAGAGTGGCTAAATAGGGAAGTGTGTGGGTACTTCACTGCTTGGGGTGCCCACTGAGGCTCCTAAGGCCACCCAGGGCAGGACAGCATGCCAGCTACCTGTAATGGGGCTTAGGGAAGGGGTGGCGTTCTTGATTATCGCTCCAGCAGGCTCAGCCACATGATTGGAGGCCAGTGGTGGTGCAATGTGGTTTGGCTGGTTAGTATGTGGGGCATTGGTCATGGGTGACACTTCTCTTTGCCATGATCAGTGCTATGTAAGTCAAGGGTGAATCTGGTAGGAGACCACAAATACTGGCCAGGGAAAGAGGGTTTCTTTGAGGTTGAAGGGATCTAGATCAATGGGTTATATGAAAACTATGTTCTCTACTTCTCTCAAATGCAATTGCAACTTTGAGCTCCCAGACCAACTGAATGTGGCAGAGCCAGAATCATCTCCTTTAAGAACCCAACTTGCTTTTAACCATCCCCTCCTCCAGGAAACCTTCCCAGGCATCCCATCAATCTCACCATCCCTCCTCCTTGGGCATCTATCAGCTCTTTCAGCTTGACTCTTATCTCTCCAGGCTCAGGGCTGATGTCTTGTCTTCTTTGAATGTCTCACAGTTCAGGAGATTGTGAAAAAAGAAATTAAGTGCCAAAAGAAGAGGCTTTGTAACTGAGCACTTGGTCACTGACTGGGCTATCCTTAAGCAGCAGAGGGGCAGCTCTGACCTCACTCAGAGAGAGCATGGTGTCCCTGGACCACCATGGGGACAGTGAATTCCTCTTGTGTGCATAGGTCCTTTTCAAAGGTCCCTGCCAGTTTCTAGCTGATTTCCAAAGTCTCAGAATATGTTAAATGAAAGGACTGTCTTTCTAGTAGATTTCTCAAACGTTTGGGCTGGTGGTCAGGAAGCTGTGAATGGTTCCCTCTCCAGAGGTGTATCAGCTGGGGCTCCCTAGGACCCCCTAAGATGGCAGATCTAGAGCTACCTACCTCCCCAAAAGGGTTTGTTTGCCTTCCTTCCACCTACAAAGTAGTCCCCACTGCCAGCAGGATCCTTTGGTTCCCAAGAGCTATTCTTACACTGTTTTGTGTGGTTGCTGACTCGGAACAGAGGAACAGCTTCAGTTGAGAAAGAAAATGTGGGTGTTAGTGCTGCCCATGCCTCAGAGGCTGGTTTTGGCAGGTGCTTTTGGCTGATAAAGCAAAAGTGATTGATAAACTTGACAAACCCTTAGCCCAGTGAGTAATCTCTCTCAGAGATCAGCTCCACCTATAAATTAAGGTTTTTATTTTTCATTTATAAAAAGGCATACATGCTCATTGAAGACATCATTCTAAAAAAATCTTACACTCATTGCTGTTAAGTCAGAACCAACTCACAATGTGTGTTCAGAGGCAGTAAACTGCACGGATGGCCCATCTTCCTCCCACAGAGCAGGTGGTGGAGGTGAGCCCCCTCCTTTGGGGTGGAAGGGCAATTCCTTAACCACTAGGCCAATAGAGCTACCTAAAGACATCCTAATAGAGGAAAAGGACCTTTAATACCTCTAACCCGAGACCTACCAGCGTAATTGTGACTTACACTTTTCTAGGCTTTTTTTTTTTTTTTTATAAATTTCTAGCCGACTTGGTGTTGTTCACCAAGCAGAGCTTTTAAGAAGCTTGTGACCTTTGTGACCTGTCATGAGATCCTCAGCTTCTTATAGGAAGCTTTCTTTTTTTAAATTTTTTATTATTTTTGTGTGTGTGTACCGTCAAATCGGATCTGACTGGTACAGGAGGAGATTGCCCCTCCTTCCCCAACAAAGCATCTGGTGGATTTGAACCGGGAAGCTTTCTTTTGAGGCCTTATTTCAGTCTCTAAGCAACAGGAATGGTGCTTATTTTGTGCTTTGGACACTTTGCCACAGGGAGTCCCTCCTTGTGAATGGCCCTTCTCTCCTTTGATCCTGCCTCTCACTGTTTTCTGCTGCAGGTACACAACAGCCAACGCCGAGTCTGACTATGAGCAGGACTCTGACAGGGAGAGTGAGGACGGGGAAGATGATGTGAGCTGTGAGACGGTGAAGATGGGAAGAAAGGAGTCTCTGGACCTGGAGGAGGAGGTGGTGTCAGGCCTTGGGCCCGGTGCCCTGGGAGACGGAGAAGCTGCTGGCCAGGAGGACGTGTTACCCCTCTTGCAGCAGGTGGATGCGCTGCACCTGGGCAGCAAGCAGGACAAGCGGGAGGGCTTCCAGCTGCTGCTCAACAACAAGCTGGCGGTGAGGCTCGCAGCCCCCAGGGCATGACGGGAGGCCCCTGTGGTCACTGCCTCCTGGGAGAAAGGGAGGAAAATGAGGGTGAGGTGACAGGGCTCCCATCCCCCAGATTGCACAACTTGTTCCAGGAGGCTGAGCGCTGACCCTCGGGGCCCACAGGCTGCCCTCCTCCCTGGGCAGTCCTCTGCCAAGGACTAGGAGTCAGGTCTTGTTTTTCTTTCTCCTCTTCTTTAAAGCAGAAACTCCCAGTGACCTGCCCCATATGAAGCTTCCATTGTCAGTTCTTCTCCCAGGTTCACTACCAAAGTTTTTGCTCACCTAGGTATAAATGCTGAAGTTTTCATTTTCCTTCATTTGGGCACCTTTATTTATTGTGTTGGCAAAAGACTTTCCTCATTGTCTTCTTGGAGTTGACCTCTTCTCTGGGCAGTTGTGGGAGACCAGCATGCCCTCCTGCCAGCCTGGATCAGCCACCTGCAGCAGGATGGCTGTGCCCTGAGGCCGGCCTGATCTCAGTGACTAATACACTGACTGGGGAACTCAGGAGTGTGGGGAGTGTGTCAGGGCCCTACTCTGGCCGAGGAAAAAGGACTCACATCTGTCTGGTTCATAGTATGGAAGCCGGCAGGACTTTCTCTGGCGCCTGGCCCGGGCCTACAGTGACATGTGTGAGCTCACCGAGGAGATGAGTGAGAAGAAGTCATATGCCGTAAGTGGTAAGTGCTGACAGGTTTCTGGCGGGAAGAATCTGGGAGTGGAAGTGGCCTATCTGCTTGGGACCTAAGGAATGACCAAGAGCAGCTGTAGCTCATTTACCCACAAATTTTGGTTACGAGCCCTTGCTTCCTCCTGTTGAGGAATAAAGCAGGTTATTCTTTTGTTTAAGTAACAGGTGGCCAAATTTTTCTGTAGTTGTATCATATTAGTGTTACTTTTGTTCCCAACCCCTAATTACAAAGGGGTAGGGGTGGAGAGAGAGTGAGTGTGAGTGTAAGAGTGTGTGTGTGTGTGTATAAAGCCTCCTTTCTTAATGTGAGGATTTTACTGCTGTTTAGGAATCTAATTTCAGTTATGTGGCCTGTAGGGCAGGTCTCCCAAGAACAGGGGGAGTGTTTGGTTAAGCGTGGGTGACTACTGCCACCACAGAAGTCCCTGGAGTCCCCTTTAAAAATCCATTGTCAAAGTCATATTCAGGGGTTACGATGCTGTAAAAAAGAGCAAGGGCACTGTGAGGACGACCATATATGACCTTTATTAACTTTACTAAGGGAGAACTGTCCCTATCAACAGCACCAGTAACACAAAACTAACTTTCATGAGGTCAGACATGTCCTCATGCTCACGCTTTTCTGCTCATATTGACATCAACCTTACTGTTTTGCTGGGCTCCAAAATCTGATGTGATAGATCACAGAACACACAGAACCATATGGGGGAGTCAAAAGGTTATAATCACCCAGAGGAACACGGTTCGAATCCACCAAATGCTCTGCCGGAGAAGGAGGCGCAATCTCCTCCTGTACCAGTCAGATCTGATTTGACGGTACACGCACACAAAATAAAAAAAAAAAAGGTTATAATCAAGATTAATAATACAATACAGTCACGACAGCTTCTTTTTTTTTTTTTTAAGACAGCTTCTTAAATGTGCACAACAGCACCTCAGCCCCAAGCCTTGTGGCTCTGGTTCCTGCCAAAATTGGCTCTCCTCCCAAACACACCACGCCCCCTGCAAGGTCTCATCTCACACTGGATAGTCTCCATTTTGATCATGGCTGCCCTTTTCCAAGTGGTGGGGTTTCTTCGCTGGTGGTGGCTGGTTTCTTTCCTCTTCTCTCGTAGGGTAAGATCTGTCTCTCTCACTCTGGCTTGCTCAATTCAATGGAGAGATTGGCCAGCCCCCTTGTGGGTAGGCTAACATGCCCCATTTGCATATTCCTGCCCATCCATAGACCATCCTTTCTCCTTAATACAATAATTAGTTCAGCATAAAACAAAGTTAGTCTTTTGGCTAGGAAAGACAATTTTGAATGATAAACCTCAGATACCCGGAGATGCACCCTACCTATCTATGGTAGGCTCAGGCCTGTCCTTTGTCTGGCCTCAAGATACTGGAACCCCCCCCCCCCAAAAAAAAAAAAAAAAAGAAACACAGGGATCTGAAAAAGATTGGTCTTATGGAAAAAAATGTTATGTATTGCCTGGCCATTCACCTTTAGTGAAACATCTGTAGGCTTATAGTTAGTTAATTGATTATCTAAAGTTGCAGAATTATCTACAATAGATTCATCTACTTCCCCCCGCCCCAAGATGAACAGCAGAGAGTTCAGCATTAATGAACATGTTATAAAAAGAGAAGACCAGATCCCATGTTATCCTGACCCTTCAGATCCATCTTTCTTTGCTTCCACTTTCTCCTTAGCTGGAGCAGCAGCAGAGGAGGGGGGAGGCCCACCGCTGGGGCAGGTCCACCAGCATCCCCATTGCACATGGAGCTCCCAAAGTTGGTCAGGGCCTTTGGCAAACAGACCAGGCCAGAAAGATTCTCCATTTGCAGCTGCTTTAATGAGGGCATTGATCTGATCTTCCATGATAGTCACCTCATCATCGTGCAGTATGAGGGCTGAGTCAAAGCAGGTGAGCTCAGAGACAGAGGCCACGGTGCAGCAGTGCTACATTGAACCAGCCAGTGCTAGGGAGTACCAGTGTAGTGCTGGGTGGTGCTAGTGCTGCCGGCTGCAGTGCTCGTCTGGGTGAATGAGGACCTCACCCCTACGTGGCCTTAGCTTCCTGGGGAGAACCGAGCACCTTAGCAGCAACTGACAAAGGGGGCACTTTCCCACTTTTATAAGTACAGCCCTGCAAACACTATTGAATCTCTGATAATGTGGAATCTAGTAATACTTCAAGGCCATTATTCTAAACATTTATTTTTGTTGCAGAATTCTGCTAACATAAAAAGAACAGGCCAATTGAATTGAATGTTTAAGAAGGCTTTCAGAAAAGTCTCTGAAAGTTTTAACAAAAGGTCCTTGCTTAGTTTGCTTCAAAAGTTCTGCTTTCTCTCCTAAACTTTATGTAAGGATCCTGATAAGCTTGTGGACTGCTTTTTTTAAAATTCTTGTTTATCAACCTTTCTGGTCCTTTTGGTTCCTATCTCTTATACCAGGAGGCAGCAACCAATCCTGAAGGAGGCTGGGGGGGGGGTGTAGATAGAAGAGCAGCTTCAGTCAGCACTGTTCTGATCTGGCTCCCCAACCGTAGCACCCTTGGACAGATCTGTTCTTGCTCCAAGTAAGGATTATGGGCAGTCTTTGAAGGTCCTGCTCTGGGACTAGAGTCTTTTAAGACCACTCTCGCTGGGCCTAAAGGTCTTCATTTCTATCCCTAGAACCTGGACAAGCAGGGGCAGCCACTCTGGGGGATCTTAGGCAGATATCATGCTAACTTCATAGTTTAAGCTAGAAATTAATGAGGGTAGAATATTTGGCAGGAACTGACTGTCCATTCTTTACTCATACTTTTCTAATGAGAAAATCTGTCTTTCTTGAAAAGGACATTGGTAATTCCCCAAGAGAGACGATGTCCATCTCTAGTAGGGCCACATTTCCTTGAACTTTGGCATGCTGAGCCCTTCAGAGCATCACTTGTCTTAAAAATGTGTCATCAGGGAGCTCTGGAAAGAAGCTGCACTACAATCTCCGAGATATGCAGTTCGAATCCACCAGATGCTGTGCTGGAGAAGGAGGGGCAATCTCCTCTTGTACCAGTCAGATCCGATTTGATGGTACACTCACAAAATAATAATAAAAAAATGTTGCGTCATATGTATATTATACAATTACCATTATTTCAAATATGAAGATTTCAGAGTAGCCAGCTTATCACCTAGACACATTCCATGTTCACTTCCACTCCTCTCAGCTTTAGTTAGTGGCTAACTGCTCTTTCGCAGTGTGCAGGTGTGATGCTTTGGCCTGGATGACTGCAGGCCCCAAGCCCTGATTCTCTAAGGTTTCCTATCAACAGCTTTCATGTAAATTAGTCGTTGTGCCTAGAAAACTGGGGTATATTATCTCTAAATTATTTCTCCACAAAAATGATCCCTAGTCAAACCTGAGTCGTTTTGGCTCTGTGAGGGGAGTTTGGACCTGGAACAATAATTAGCATGAGAATTTAATCAAAGATGTGGATCCTCTTCCCAGGTAAATGCATTTATACCAAAAATCTGATACAACTTAAAAGGGATTCATGGATATCCACAGCTCTTCCACCAATTAAAAGCCGTCCAGAGTGAGGTCTGGTGGGACAATTTCTGATAGCCTTTGGGTCTTGGTTCTTAATGTTTAAAATGCTTAAACCTGCTTTAAGAACGTAAGGTCATTTTTGAAATATGGTAGTTGTGGAAGCTGATGACAAAGTGATAGGGGGCAGAAGTGAAGCAAGTTACACAAATTCATCGCTGAGAAACTGTGTGACTTTATTGGGCCCAAATTTCCAACCATTTCCAGCTAAGTGGATGGGTAAAAGCTAAAGCAGTTTATTCTTCTGGCAGCCTGTCTTGTGGAAGGGTGTGCAGGGGCCCTGATCAACTTCTGGCCCACCGTTTCCCTACAGGAAAAGAAGCAGCAGAGGCCGCTCTGGAGAAAGGAGACAAGAATGCCGAGTGTCACCAGTGGTAATAATCTGCAGGGTCCCTGGAAGAACCTGTGTGGGTCTGGAGGGGGGGGCTCTGCTCTAGTCACAAAGGCATTTGCCAGAAGAACCAGGAGTGGGGGCTCTGACCTTTGCGTCCACAAACTCGTTTCCACTCCCAGTCAGAAAGGGCAAATTTTCTTTGGGAAGGTACCTTCATGTGAGGTAAGGAAGGTCCCACCACCACCCTTACAATGACATTTTCCTTTTTTTTTTTTTAAATTATTATTCTCTGTGTGTGTGTGTGTGTGTGTGTGTGTGTGTGTGTGTGTGTGTGTACTGTCAAATTAGATCTTACTGGTACAGGAGGAGATTGTCCCTCCTTCTCCAGCAGAGCATCTGGTGGATTTGAACTGTGTACCTCTGAGGTTGCAGTGCAGCTTCTTGCCACTAGAGCTCCCCTACAATGACATTTTCAAAGTCATCCTAGCTAAAAAACTTGTGGGGTTTTTAGGGAGATGATTTGCTCCTCCTTTCTCTTGCATAACTCTTTCCCCAAGCTGCAGTCCCTGGCTGGGAGTGGACTTTGGCTTCTTTGCTTGGCTTGCATGAGTAAAACTGGATTTGAGTTCATCCCCAGGAAGTTCTAAGACAGATACTCAGAGTTCGATAAGTACATGAAAAAGAAACTTGACCTTGGTTTTCAGATTCTGTCAAACGTACTTCTAGGAACATGTACCAGGAAGTTCTAAGACAAATACTCAAGAGTTTGATAAATACATGAAAAAGAAACTTGATCTTGGTTTTCAGATTCTGTCAAATGTACTTCTTCTAGGAACATGTACCTCTAAGAGGATGGTAGTAAGACACCTTGTATTTGAAGACAGGATAGGAAGCTGGCTGGTGGAGTGAAGGTCACTCTTCTTTTCATTCCCAAGTTAACATTAGAAATTCCTTGAGTATAGTGACAATTTCACTGTCATAAAATATGGCTTTTCAAATCTCAATGTATAGTTCCAAGGCCAATGACACTCTTACAGTTTATTCAGGAGACAAAACAATCTAATTTGGCCTTTTGATCAATCAGAGATCTCCTTTTCAAGTTTTTATAACATCTGTGACTGTCTTTATGAAAAAGGGACACTTCTAATACCGGGGATTTGGATTGAGACCTTGCCTGAATATTCTTAGGTTCAGGGGAGCTTTTTTACCTAGTATATTTTGGAAAGTTATGAGATTATCAGAATACTGGCAAACGACTATTAGGCGAGACGGCAGATCTCTGAAGAGGGAATTATACATAGAAAGTGCGTGTTCAGCTCTGGTTGGAGGGTGGCAGGGCAGAGGCAGCCGAGTCTCAGATGGGAAGCTTGTTCCTGGAGGTGCTGCTGCTGAGCCCTTGTTGCTAAGCTTGCCGCTGCTTCCCCTCCGTAGGTACGCGGTGCTTTGTGGTCAGCTGGCTGAGCATGAGGGCATCCAGAGGCGCATCCAGAGTGGCTTTAGCTTCAAGGTGAGGAAAGTCTGCTTCTCCTTGTGCTGGTCTAGCTCAGACTCTGGCTGCCCCGAGCTTCCTCCGAGGGCTCTCCTACAGCTTCAGTGGCCTGGCTCTCTTCCTTTTAGCAGCCTTGTGTCTGATGTCGTGTTTTACATTTTTCTGCCTCAGGAGCATGTGGACAAAGCCATTGCTCTCCAGCCTGAAAACCCCATGGCTCACTTTCTCTTGGGCAGGTGGTGCTATCAGGTGAGCATTCCAAGGCCAGACATGAGTGTCCTGTGACACTGACCCTGCTGGGGAGGGGAGGGCCCTCGGCTTCCTCAGCCAGGCACCAGCTTCTGGATGCCTGTGGTATTGATGTTTGGGAGCCAGCGGTTTGACCCTGTTTCTTTCTAGCACAGAATGCTCTATGTTCCTACAGCTACTTCTTCAGACTTTTCATTTACACTTTAATCTTTTCCTGGCAGGTCTCCCACCTTAGCTGGCTAGAAAAAAAAACTGCTACTGCTTTGTTAGAGAGTCCTCTCTGTGCCACCGTGCAGGACGCCCTACAGAGCTTCCTCAAGGTAGGCGGACGGGCAGGAGACAGCAGCCCGAGACACCAAGGTGACCCGATTCCTCCTAGACACTACTGGGAGCCTTAATGGGAGGGCTTCCAGTAAGAGAGTTTTGTTTATGAGCTCTGTTTAAAATTGCAATCACCTAAAGAGAATTAAAAAAAAATTTCAAGATCCCTCCAATCAGTCTCCAGTCTGAGGACAGGAATAACTCCAGCCTGACTTGAATTTGGGATCCTCTTACTGAAATAACGTCGTCCTCCTTTTCCTAGGTTGAAGAACTACAGCCAGGATTTTCCAAAGCAGGAAGGATATATATTTCTAAGGTAAATGCATCTGACAACCTTACAGATGAGAAAATTTAGAAATAAAATTTCTAGGAACTCCTAAAAGCACATATACTCATCCTTCTCTAGTTTGGTTTCTTTTTGCCAGGTTTTTACTGTTAGTTTTTTTCAGTGCTACAGAGAACTAGGAAAAAACTCTGAAGCTAGACGGTGGATAAAGTTGGCCCTGGAACTACCAAATGTCACTAATGAGGTAATACTCTTTTCTAAGTTCTGGGCTCTGTATCATCTCAGCAAAATTTTTCCTTGAGCTCATGTTTCTCTAGGAAAGAAAGTCTCCCTTTTTGTAGGCTTTTGTATACATTTCTCCCAGGGGACAAGATGGAACTTGTGGGTGGGCTTTGAGCTAGCTGGGAAAATTAAGACCCTGGTACCAGTAGTTTGGGAAAAGGTGGCTCAGGATTTTGAGCTCGAGCCTTATTCTGTTTCTCTCTTTTGTCTCCTTAGGATTCAGCTTTCCAGAAAGACTTGGAAGAATTGCAAGTAGTTTTAGGAGAATAATCACATTCCAGTGACCTTTATAACCTGAAAGATACCACTGTTAAGGGGAGGGGGGAAATATCAAGGCTTCTTTTGTCGACCTGCTTAGCTCAGGAGACCAAGCAAGGCTGATTTAGGGTGTGTCCTAACTCCTGGGTGTGACCACCACCTGCTGTTACTCTTCAGTTTCTTGCTTGTTGTCTACCAGTTAATTTATTGTAAGCCTTTACCTAATTGGAAATAGGGGAAGTAGAGGAGGCTTAGGTTTCTTCCTTCTCCCCCAAGTGCATTCTTGAAAAATCAAGACTAGTTTAGCACCTGCCTATGGCTACACGTGGATGAAGCCTTGAGAGCCTTCTAGAGCCAAGAAGCCAAAACAGTGACACTGTCAGATGCTAGTGAGGTAGGTTAACTACAGAGCGCTACAGAACAAAGCACAGGGAATATTAAATTATAATAATTTTTTACTCAATACTATTTAATATCAATGTACATAGTTTCAAGATCATATTCTATCAACCAGAATGAGAGAAAGGGCAAGGGAAGAACACAGATCTTGTCCCCTTATCACCTATCATGTGGATTCTTAACTCTTCCTGGGTTGAGGGGCTGATTTACAGCGTCCTGGCAGCTTTTGGGATGACAGCAGCAGCAAAGGTTTATGATACTGTGAAATGATTGTCTCGAGTTACTTGGACTGCATTATGGCGCACATATTTGAAATAAACATATTTGATTTGGAAGTTATTTTAATCTCCTCTTTAATGTTTTAATTATTAGTTCCTTACTCTTATTCCAGAATTGTTTCCTCGTATAGAAGCTACTGTAGACAAGTCTACAGTGTGTCCAGCAGTGTTTAGAGTAAGCTCTTTGGTTAACACTATTGCCAATGGAAATTTTAGTTCTGCAGGGCCTGATTATATTTAGCCTTACAAGGCCCACTGCAACTAAGGTGTTCCCCGCCTGTGTTCAACTTCAGTTAGCACTAACAATATGAATTTCCAGGTAAAGTCACTTAAATACTTAAATTTATTGTAACACTGATTTTTTTATACAAGAACCAAGTTTTCATCCCAAGAATCTCATTGTGGCTTTTGCTAGAACATCCTGGGTTGTTTTGTGACTTAGAAGCAGAGAAGACTCAGGATGCACTCAATTCTGAAGATGAAGGGACTTGTTTGGGTGGGTGGGTGTCTAAAATTTACCTGATATTTTTGTGTGAAACTGATCAATGCTTATGGAAGATCTTGACTGCAAGGCTCAGCAGCAAAGATGGAATTGTACATAAGGAAAACGGGGAAATGAGGTAAAGGACAAAAATTTATAAACTCTTAAACATTTTATTTGGTAACTGTCAGGGACAATGAATGACAATACCTCTTTCACTTCAGTCTCCAGTCCTTAAAGCACTGTTTTCAAAACAGCTGCATTATATTGACTGGTCCTCTTATCTTCCTAATGTAGAGGGACCAACATTGGCTGCAGTAGCACATTTTTGCTGCTATCTCAAAACTGAGAGGCCCAGTGGAGATAGAAAAGCTGATTAAAACATTCTAAATAGAAGAATGAAGAAAAATATCTCAAATCTTTAAAGCAGAACAATTGGGGCAAGAACCAGACCTTTATCATACGAGGCTTCTGGAATAAAAGGCCATTGGAAAGCTGTGCTATATCCACTTTTATAATAGTCTCTTTATAATATAACATTAGGTTGAAAATAAGCTTAATCATCTACATGCTGGATTCTAAATCAGAAATATTTTTACATCCAACCATCTTTTGAACTCTAAAAGCAACAGAAACTGATTAATTCTAGCAGTGCCAAAAAGTTAATATGGAGTCCATGTCTTGAAACATTTGGGTTGTGTAAAATTAGTTCCTAACCTGCACTCACGACAAATAAAACTGATTTATTACCAGCCTAATACCAAGTTTACTTAGATAATCTGAGATACTCAAGATCGTACAATTATCTTGAGTAGGCCTAAGCAACAAAGACCAAGCAAGTAGACAGTGAAAGGCTGGAAAGCCTAACAGGTAGTGTTCAGGACTCCTTAATGAAAAATAGTACAGACAAACACACACACACTTGTTGCTGACTGATAGGACAAAGTCTACTGTTTGAGAGAAAAAGAACCTCGTTCCTTGTCTCATAGCTCAGGTGTTTTATTTCATCATTATTCAGTCTCCTCAGCTTTACTGTTCTTCAAACATAAGACCATCTGTCCAGTAGACAGCTGTTAGTACTGGGCGACCCCCAAACACTTACCAAAGTCATTATCTCCCCTCCAAAACCAAAGAAATAACATAGAAATTAATATACTCCAGAAGGAATAAACATTTCAGATAAGTTGTGACTCTGACTGTATCCTGTTTACACCATCAGACAAGCGGATACAATGGTGCTTTTTTCCCAAAAGTTCTTTCCTGGAAGTTACAACAGGAAGAAGACAGTAAAGAAACACTGGGAGCAGTCCTTTCCATCAGTCTGCAGTATGTAAGGTTTAAAACACACCAACGGTTCAGTCTTTGGCATCGCCCACTCCATCGGCATTGATGGCAAACATAGCTTCAGCTTCAGGAAGACAGGGGGAGTCATAGATTTTGCAGATTCTGGTTTCTCCTCTTCCTTTCCTCAGGTACAGCCTGACTCAAAGACACAGGCCAAACACACCAAGGTTACTGCAATTAAAAACTGCATTCCTGACTTAACAGTAGTAAGTCTAAATCTTTACAAACATACATATCTGTATCTTAGAGGACTTGGGAGACCTTTCTGGATTCCTTAGGCATCCAGAAAAGGACACTTCTAACCTGAAGGAATCCATTTCTTCCCTGCCATTTCTCTTAGATTTCCAAAACCAAAATGACTGAAACAATATTTTGTTCATTAATCAAGGAGAGGCATATAAATTATTCATACTCATACTTCCATATTTGGGGTCTTTTAACTACTTTAAGAGAGTCCTGGGGACACAGTGGTTCACAGCTCAGCTGCTAACTGAATGGCTGGCAGTCTGAAATGCCCAGCTTCCCTCCTGGGAGAAAGACGCAGCAGTCTGCTCCCACAGGGATTACAGTCCTGGAAGCCTCCTGGGGCAGTGCTTCTCTGTCTTACAGGGGTGCTAGGAGCTGGAATCAACTTGATGACATTTCTCTTTTATGAGTGAACTAGAGGCAAACGTGTACTAACCAAAGCTTGAAAATTAGGTTTAGCAATAGTGCCTAAGTATCTACCTGCATGTGATAGTAGTTTTAATAGAAATCTTTTTATATCTACTTCACAATAGACAATCCAAGAATTCATTTGTATTGTCACAAGCATACCTGGTTGTTGAAGCGTGGGCAATGATGTTTCCTCCAATAGGTTTCTTGGGATCAGCAGCAAACATGGCTGCTCCATCCACTTGGGCCACCACTTGGTTAGTGATCACCACTGCTACTCCAAACTGACAGGGAAAAGATAGTATCGCTTTTGTGGCCACAGACATTCCAAGGATCTCACTGCCACCACCCATTTTTTTCACAAACCAGAAGCCTCTCTTCCAAACTGCCAGCTCCTAGCAGCTCCATGCTACTAGGCTTTAAAGCAAGCCTTCTGATACTTACAGCGGGTGAAGTAGGCACTTCCTATCCCTGCCCTTCAGCTTACCTCATCAGCAAGTCGCAGAAGCATCCGCAGAAATCTGGCCAAGTGCATCTGTCTGGCTGAGAGCTCACCCCGACCAGAATAGTCTGTTCTGTAGAGGGCGGTGGCACTGTCTACAATTAGCAGTGCATACCTACAGACAGCATAGAGTCTCTGCAGCTTATTTCCAGCCTATGACAGACTCTACTCTCTTCCTCATTACTATAAAACTCATATTCATAGTTGTATATACATGTTCCAATAAAATGAACAATTGTAATAAAGAAACAAGATGAATATTAGTACAGCATTCAATGTAAGACTCCAAATGCAGGTGGATTGTGGCTTCACGGGTTTTTTGTTTTTATTGTCTTTTTAGGGAAAATTTATGAAGAAATTGGTTTTTATTCATTCACCCCTCCCTCTCCCGAGTTTGCTCTATAAAGCTTGCCTTTTTGTGACTGAGATATTTCACTCAGCGTTATGTCTTCCAGACACATCCATGTTATATAGTGTTTTACAAGTTCAGTGTTATTCAATGCTGCATAATATCCCAATGTGTTGACATATCAGATTCCCTATCCATTCATTTATTGGGCTGCTTTCATCTCTTTGCTAATGTGAATAAACAGGTTTGCATACTTGGCGGTTAGTTTTAAAAGTGAGTGGGTCTAAATAACAGAGCAAGGTTGTTAAAATAAAACTAAAACTTACATTTCTATCAGGAGTAACAATTTTGAAAATTACTACATAACCTGGGAGAGTCTGGAGAGCATTATTCTGAGTGACCAGTCTCATAAGTCAATAATGTAAGGTCAATATTATAAAAATAGAAGGATAACTAGTAAGACATGTATGAGGGCCCAAGGACGGAAATCACAGGGCTGCATGATTTGCTGGGTGGAAGGAAGGGGTAAAGGATATAGGAAAGAACAGGTGGGGATCTAAAAAGATGGGGATAATGGTGGGCATAGTTCAATGATGATTCATTTTATAAAACATAATGGGAATGACTGGATGAAACACAATGTATACAAATTTTGTATGCACAATATAAAAAAATTAACCCCCCCCCCAAAATTACATTTCTAATCCTCACAACTATCAATGTAGCCAAATAGTTGATAGAAGATCAAGGGTAACGATCCTGTGATTGTGCTCAGTGCCTTCAAGCCTTCTTCCGAGTACATACCTGGACTCAACCATCATGGCTGATGCTTGATAAAGGAGCTGGGTCTGGTGGTCTGTGTTGAACCCTCGAGCATATGCTACATTATCCAGGACATCACTACCAGACAGACCGTATCTAGATGAGATGAGAGAACATTTATAGCCTGGGATTAGAACTCTGAGAGATGAAAAATTATCTCTAACATTGAAATTATCTGGATAGGTAAGAAGTAGTATTGGCAATAGTTCTATGCTGAAGAAAATGAAAACAAGTCCACAAGAGACAAAATATGACCTTGCTTTTACCACACTGGAATTTAAAAACGCTTTTACCACACTGGAATTTAAAAACCATCTCTAGATCCTTTTCAGAATCGTGAGCATGATGACTGGGTGTTCATGCTATTGTATGACATGTGCCATCCTTAAACCTTGTTAGGACATCAGCACATTACCTGTCTGACATGAAAAACAAACCAAAACACAACCATAGCAAGAACAGCTCTGATGTATTTGTAGGCTGACATCAAGGATCTCATGCATGAAAGATGCAAAAAGGTCATTAAAAAAACAAGGAGGGGAGGGATGGGCAGGGAGAGAAGTGCAGCAATGAATGAATGGAAATCCAAAATCTCTGTAAATGCTCATTAAAATTATTTTTTATAAAAAAGAAGAAGAAAAAATAAGGAAGAAAGAAGAAAACATATGGCAGGAGAGACTCTGAAGCTTCTCTTGAATGAAGAAAGGCTCAAGCAAAAGGCAGAAATGATGAGAGCACTGAATAGAATATTTCAAAGGGCAGTTCAGAAAACAAAGTCTTAAAATGTGCAGAGACCTAGAGTTAGAAAACCAAAGGAGAGTAACACTCAACATTTCTCAAGATAAAGAAGGAAAAATTCAAGCCCTGAGTTGCAATACTGTAAGATTCTGTTACAATATTGTAAATGGGCAAAAATATCGAATTATGTAGGAAGCATAAAAAAGATGGAAGGACTATATGGAGCCACTGTACCAAAAAGAGCTGGTAGATGCTGTCAGAAGCAGGATATGATCAAGAACCAATGGTACAAAGGAAGAATCTTAAGCTGCATTGAAGGTATTGGTGAAAAAATAAGACAATGGGACACCTAGAGTTTGCAAAAAGACACCGTCTTTGATATGCTCACTAGTTTATGCCAAGAAACCTGGCAGACAGGTACCTTACCAACAGACTGGAAAAGATCAGTATTTGTTCTCATTCCACCTCTCCCCCCAGAGAAAAACTGAAACAGTCATCCAACAGAATAGAAAAATTATCAATATCATTAATATCACATGCAAGCAATACCTTGCTGAAGATTATGAAAACATAACTGAAGCAGTAAGTATGTCAACAGCGAGGTGCTAGAAATTAAAGCTGTTGTTGTTGTTATGTGCCGTCGAGTCGCCTGTGACTCATAGCGACCCTATGTACAACAGCCCTAAACTCCGCTCTGTCCTGTGCCAATCGCACTGTCTCTGACACTCCCATCCCAATTATCCCAGTCACTGAATCAATCCACCTCATAGAGGGCCTTCCTCTCCTGCGCCGTCCCTCCACCCTCCCAAGCATGATGTCCCTCTCCAAGGACCGGTCTCTCCTCACTACATGTCCAAAGTAAGTTAGACGGAGCCTCAGAATCCTTGCCTCCAAGGAGCCACCCGGTTTAACCCTCTCCAGGACAAATCTATTTGTTTTCCTAGCAGTCCATGGTATTCTCAGTACTCTTCTCCAGCACCACAGCTCAAAGGCATCAGTTCTCCTTCTATCCTCCTTGGTCATTGTCCAACTCTCTGATGAATAACAAGTGATTGCGAAGACTATGGCCTGTATCAGCTAGATTCCTAAAAGGCTTCAGAAAGAAAGATCACTGCTATGTCAGATGCATCCTGGCCGAAAGCAGAAAACACATGAGAGATGTCTGTGTTTTATTATGGAAAAGCATTTAACTATGTAGATTCTAATAAGTTACAGATAACACTGAGAAGAGAGTAAGAATCCCAGGATACTGAAGTCTGTTCATATACTACCTGTACATAGACCAAAAAGCAGCAGTCTTTTGAACATAACAAGGGCATATTGCATGGTTTAAAATCAGGAGGTGTGTGTGTGTCAGGGTTGTATCTTTTCTCCATAGCTATTATTCAATCTTCATACTAAGCAAATAATTTGAGAAGGTGGACAATATGGATATGAACAAGAATGTAGTGTCAGGAGTGGAGAAAGATTCATCAATAACTTAATCATGCCAATGACACAAACCTTGCTTACAGAAAGTAAAAAAGACGTGAAGTACTGACAGCCATGAATATGGATTACACTTAAAAATGCTGTTAATTAGTTTGTTAGATCAACATAGTCAACTGCCTTTGCGTAGTCAATAAAAAACAAATAGATACATAACTGTTTTATCTTCATGACAACTTGTCTTTTTGTTAAAACGTCTCCCTTTTTAGCATTATATTTGTCTTAGGGTGATTTTGTCTGACTGGCATGAGTTTACTCCTGCTCTTTTAAGATTAATATTTGCATGGGATACCTACTTTTGCCCCTTTCAGCTATTTGTGTCTTTGCATCTAAAGTGTTTCTCTGAAATACAACATATAGTTTGATGTTATTTTTTTACTGTGATGAGAACTCACAAATTATTAACTAAAGAAGAATGCTTTTCTCCACTAAGGAAGGTTATTTTTTTAACAGATACAACTTTGGGAAGAAAACACATGAAACCTTAAGGGATAGAGAGACACTCTCCAGCCATACCAACTCTGGCAATTGCCAGTGACAGGTGTGGGCACATTCTTCTCACCTAATCCAGTAACCTACCTCTCAGCCACTGCCAGCAGCCGTTCTGGCCTAAAGGTACCCTCAGTGTCAATGTACATGGCCTTTCCTTCACCTCCACCCCGGTCGATAGGAAGCTGGAGAGAGGAAAGAAAAACAAAACAAAAACACAACAACAGTGGAAATGAAACAACTTCTGACATGACTGACCAAGTTTTCTATGGTCACTTAAACAGTTATAGGAAAAACACTTAATGGGAATAACTTTATTTACCTTTGAGTTGGAATCAACTCAGAGTAGATGACCCTTCAATGGGTTTTAGAGACAAGTAAATCACAGGGAAGAAAACTGTCCATCTTTCTCTTGCAGAGCAGCGGGTGGACTCAAACTATGTGTCTCTTAGTTGGCAACACAACTCTTTACCACTAAGCTACCAGAGTGCTCTTCAAAATGACAATAAGAGGTATAAAAGAAGCATTTCTTTTTGATAGAAATATAGTTTCTATCTGTATGGTAAAGAGAAAATTCATCATGTCCCCTAGCATGTAAGGTTAGAATCTTCCCAGAGTTGGAGTGCTTAGAAATATAGTCCAAATTTGTCATAAAATTCTGTGACTACATACTAGTAAGACTGACTGAGCAGTTCTCTCAAAAGTGATAACATTTAAGGAGTCATTTACTTTAGCTTTATCAATAAGGGAATGTTATATATAATACCATGTCCATACCAAATTTTATACTTCAATTGACTAAGCAGAATAAATTTCTGAGGGCTTGGTAATGCCTCCAGGTGTCTCTAGAAAGTTTAAAGTGTGTGCAAAATAGAAAAGGTGTTTGCTCTGGTAGTGTATATGGATGTTAAGAACACAGGGAAGAGAGTAGAAGAAAGTAAGAGTAGGAAAAAAAAAGGGGAAAGAAAAAAAGGAAGAAGTATCTTTTGGGTTGTTATGGGATAGCTGTTTCAGGCTGCGCATTCCATGACAGCCACCTATGAGGTCTACAGATTTTATGTGGATGATGGTAGGGCAGTTTCTATGTCATTCATCTGCATCTCTCACTCATTGCCTCTGAGTAAGAGCTGATTCACAGCAAAGTTTGGGAGACTGTACATCACAGGAGAGTGCTCATTTTTTCCCTGATTTTAATTTACTTTTAAATTCTGAGGAATCTCACTACACGAAAACATTTCCCAGTAAGGGCCCTGTAGCACCAAACGTTTATTTTGAAAATTTTCTTCAAAATTACCAAAGTTCTGTATGTTTATATTAAAAATTCAAACACATATCTATACCAATGTTCATGGCAACAATATTCATGACAGCCAAAAGATGGAAACAACTCAAGTGTCCACCAACAGATAAATGGATAAATTAGATAGCAACATACAATAGAGTGTTAAACTCATTATCATCAAATTACACTCCCAGCTGACGTTCCAGCAGTTTCTGAGGTGGTAAATTACAGGGGCGGGAATTACTTCTCTTTCTCCTGTAGAGCTGCTGGTGGATTCAAATAGAGAGGCATGGACTTTGGGTTGGCAGCTCAACTCCCTACTGACTAAACCACCAGAGCTCTGAATGGTTACTCATCTGAAAAGAAACATGTTAAGTGAAATAAGCCATATACAAATGGACAAATATTGTATGGATCCAGTGCTTACCAGTGGGTGGGGAAAAAACTGAAGAATTAGTTACAAGGGGGGAATTTTTTTTTTTTTTGCCTTTCCAGTGCCACTACAGCTACTTGGGATAGGATGCTACCAAATCAACTGTTTTTTTAAAAAAAAAAAATTACACTACTTTATTTACAAAATCAAAATACATTGTTTTCAAGAACAGATTCTTTGAATTTCCCTCACCCCCCCAATCCTTCAAATTATACAACCCCATGATTAGTCCCCCCTCCCCTTGCACATCTTCATCCTTTTGATTCCAGCCTCTCCCACCAGTCTTGGATCCTTATACTTATTCTACAATAATGGTTTTATACAATATTTATCCTTGTGGGACTGAGTTAGTTCACTCAGCGTAATGCTCTCCAGTCCCTCCCAAGTTAGGTAATAATTTACAAAATCACTGCTCCTGTGTGCTGCATATTATTCCACTGAGTGAATGTACCATACTTTCTCAATCCATTCGTTTGTGGTTGGACATTTGGGCTGTTTCCATGTTCTTGTGAAGGTGAATGCTTCTTTGAACACTGGTCAAATCAACTGTTTTAAATAGATACTTTGTACCATAATTTAACTCTTCCTTCTATTATTTTTTTAAAATGAATTTATTAATTTATTTTCCCTTTTCTTGTTGTGTGCTGTCGAATCAGGTCTGACTGGCACAGGAAGAGATTGCCTCTCCTTCTCCAACAGAGCATCTGGTGGATTTGAACCATGCATCTTCAGGATTGCAGCGCAACTTCTTTGCCACTAGAGCTCCCTTCTTCCTTCTATTATATAGTGATTTGTTGTTGTTGTGTACCACGGAGTCAGAACCCACACACAGCTGACCCGTTAGCAGATTTTCAGAGGTAATGCCATGGTATAGTCTTTTATGTATTTATCCTTGAGTATATGAAAAACTTTCTCTTCGTTTTAATTTACTCTTACAGAAAATATGCTAATCAAGGGGTAAGTGCATTTAAAATTAAGTTTAACTTAAACTGTCTTCTCAGAATTTTTAAATTAATACCATAAAGAAGTAGTATAGGCTATTTATTTTTATAACCTAATCTAACTGTAGCTCTCAACTTTATAGTTTCACTATTAGATAGCAAACTAACTTACTGTGGAGTTTCATTTAACTAAGAGAAAAATCTAAATAATTAGATTTTAAACAATCAGAGCAAAGAATGTTTAGAAAACTAACATATCCGCTATGCCTCTAATTGAAGGTCTACTTTGGTAAATTATAACTATTTCCACTATTAATAAGTTAAATTAATTTTCTTTAAAAAAATAACAAAGATTTGTATGACTGTTGAATTATCTTTATAGCTAGGATATGTTTATTTGAGAATTACGCTTTTGTTTACTGGCATTATCTGATAGACAATAAACACTCCCAGACTTGGATTCTGTTGTCAAAAGAACATCAGCACAACATGCAGAGTTATTAAGGGAACTATGAATACTATGTACTACAGACCAAATATGTATTCCACATGAACATCCTTCAAGACAACAGGGGTAGGACATTTCTGTTTAAAAAGGTCATCCATCATAACCAATAGTTCCTATTAGGGTAGCATTTTAAATAGCCTTCTTTTCCTTTAGTAAACTTGTTCTTTTTTTAATTGTTATTTGAGTGAAAGTTTAAGCAAACTGGTTTTCCATCTAACCATTTACACATATTGTTTTTGTAAATATTTAGTACAACTAACTGGTTTTGTTAACATTAGTGGCAAAACCCACAACACAATGGTACTTTTACCACTACCCTTCTTTCTCATTCTCATTAATCCTTCTATCCCACTTTTCCTGCCTCTGAGCTTCATCTTTGGGTAAATGCTGCTCTTTGGCCTTATGTGGTGGGTTATTCTAAAAATCACGTTATAAGCCTATCTGTTATTAGGCTGAGAATTGAGGGTTTGTTCCAGGTTCAATAGATAACTAAGGTCCACAGTCTCAAAGGTTCATTCTCCAACAGACTAGTAAGCATGGTCTCCCCCTCATTTTGTTTTACAGTTCTCCTTACTGTATCCAGGGTCTCCTACTGAGATCCCTTCCAGAACTGACAGGTTACCATCTGGTTCTTCTGGTCTCAAGATCATGGAAGTTGAGGTTCCCATGACCCATTAATACTTTCAGTCACCAATTTCCCATGGGCACTCAGGCCATAGTAATAGCTTCCACAGCATACCATCCTCTTTTAAACACTCATTGTGCCCCACCACTTTTTTATCCTAAAAGTTCTTATGCTTTCCATCCCTACTCTTTCCTCCTTAAGCATTTATAAAGAAAGGCAACAATAGCTCAGGTCTACTTGTTCCTGGAATCCTAACTTGGCTCTCTAACAAATGGTGACATTTTAGTCACTCTTTACAAAATCAAGCCTAAACTTATTTTGAAGTCAAGACATCCATCCATTCAAGTATTGAGTGCTTACTGAGTGCCAACCTTGGACTCAGGCACTAGTCATACAGAAGAGAATATGCCAGTTTTAGGCCCTAATCTTTTTTTTAAAGGAACTCATGTCAAGCACGTTTGAGATTTATTATGAGCTTGTAATTTAGTCTATAAAGATCTCAGAGAATTTTTAATTTACTGTGATTTTAATGAAAGTTTGCAGGAAAGTTGGGTTTTCATTCATTCACTGATGCACATTTTCTTCCCTCCCTGCACCCCAGTTAACTTGGTAATGCACATCTTGTTCCAAAATGTTGTTATGCATTCCTTTCCTTCCTCTGTTCTAGTGCAGTGTTCATTATCTATACACTATCTTCCTATTCTCCTAGAACCCTGTCCCCCCATCAATCCTATTTCATAACAGCAGACTTATGCCATCCTTTTGTGACAGATATTTTACTCAGCAAAATGTCTTCCACACATACCCATATTGTGTAGTGTTTTACAAGTTCACTGTTTGGATGTACCACAGTGACAGGCAGCTCGGCTGCTTCCATCTCTTCGCTATTGTGAATAATGCTGCAATAAACACAGGTGTGCATACATCTGTTTGTGTCATGACTTGGATTTCTTTAGGGGCATCTATTCTAACATCTGCAGAAAACTGAAACCTCACAGCATACACAAAAATCAACTCAAGGTGGATCAGGGACCTAGGAGTAAAATCATAAAGTTCACCAGAAAAAATTCTCTAGAAGCCCTAACCTATAGCATGAACAGACTTAAAGCCATAACGAAAAACCTACAACCAGAGGATAAAATAGATGAATGGGACCTTCTAAAAATAAAATCTCTATGTACATCAAAAACTTACCCAATACAGGTAAAAAGGGAACCCTCAGACTAGGAAAAAATATCTGGAAATTACTTCTATGTTAAAGGACTCATACCTAAAATTTATAGACAACAAGAAAAAGGCAAACAAATCAATGACATAATGGGCATAAGATTAGACACTTTACCAAAGAAATTCAGATGGTCAGCAAACACATGAAGAAATGTTCAAAATCCTTAGCTATTAGAGAGATGAAAATCAAAACAGCAATGAGAGATCATCTCATTCTAGCAGCAATAGAGAAATTCAAAAGGGCAGCAAACAGCAAATACTGATGAGGATGGTTAAGACTGGAACTCTCATTCACTGCTGGTCATACTGTAAAACGATACAACCACTACAGAAGGCGGCTGGTGCTTTCTCTGAAAGTTAGAGAAAGAAATACCATTTGACCCAGCAATTCCACGACTGGTAATCTTAAGAAGTTTTAAGGCTCTGACATCAACTTTGATTTACGAATCTATAAAATGCTGCATGACCTTGGGCTGTGTCTTGGTTCTAAGTCTGCCCCCAAAAGGGGTGCATAGTTATAGAAGAGGAAGCTGAAGTGATCCCGAAAAAGGCTTCTCTAATTGGTAGAAATAACAGGTATGTCTGTATACAGAGAATAATCATCTAATAGAAAGGTGGAGTGAAAAATGCAAGAGGAGTCATTAAGAGGGTAGCAGGAGATAGTACCCAGACCCCAAATAGTGAGAATGAGGTTTGAGAAGGAGTATGAAAGCCTTCAGGAGAGAGGGAGAAGTATGTTATTTAGCATATGAACTAAGTACAAAAAATGTAGAAACAGAAATTTGCCAGGCAGTATTAAAGGTTAACTCTAAACTTTATTGTCTTCAATTTAAAATGAAGCCAATCAGTTTTACAACATGCTTTTTCTTCAGTATGAACAACTATTTGGGCATAGGTACCAAGAAAAAGAAAAAATGAAGTGTATTTAAGGCTGGTATCTCTTGAGGTGGGGATGTAAACCGAGAGCATTTGTATTGGCATGATTTTAATATGAGAAACTATATGTGAGGGCAGGTGAAACCAGAAACCTAGTGAATGTTAACTAAGTATTTAAATCAATGGTCTAAATGGTCCATTGTGTGGCTGTACCACAATGACAGGCAGAAGAATACTGCCATACAAGTCTACCTTTTTTTTTTTAATTTTATTAATTTTGATGAACATTTATAGAGAGAGACTTTGGATTTCCATTCATTCATTGTAGCATTTTTCTCCCTGCCCACCCCACCCTCCCCAGTTCACTCTTCTCTTTGAAAAGAAAAAGAAAAATTCTTTCATTGTTTTATAACCCCTCCACCCACGTCCACTCCACTATGCAGCCTTCGTTCTGGACTCCTGTCATGACAAAAATACTAATCATATATTGCTTTTAAACTTCTCTCCCTCATCTGTTTCAATGCAGTATACATAATTTATCCAATTTTTCTCAGTCTCACCCAAAGCCTGATGTCAGTCCTGTTCTACAACAGTGGCACTATGCAGTGTTATGTCCTTTTGTGACTGAGATATTTCACTCAGCATAATGTCCTCCAGGCTCACCCATTTTGAATAATATTGCATTAGTTCCTTGTGTCTCAATGCAGCATAGTATTCCATTGTGTGAATATACCACAGCTTCTCTATCCATTCGTTTGTTGATGGGCACTTAGGATGTTTCCAACTCCTTACTATTGTCAACAAAGCCACAATAAACATGGGTGTGCATATATCTGCTTGGGTGACAGTTATGTTTTCTTTAGGGTATACTCCCATTTGAGGAATTAATTGCTGGGTCAAATGGTATTTCTATTTGCAACTTTTTGAGAAAGCGCCATACAGCCTTCCATAGTGGTTGCACGATTTTACACTCCCACCAACAGTGAATAAGGGTTCCAGTTTCTCCGCAATCTCACCAGCATTTGTTGTTGCTGCTCTGTTAAATTTCGTTATTCTTACTGGGGTAAGATGATATATCATAGCTGTTAGAAGTCTACCTTCTAGGTCAAGAATTCTCTGTGTGTTTCCCTTTTTTTAAATTTTTATTGTATTATTTTTTACATGTACCGTCAAATCAGATCTGACTGGTACAGGAGGAGATTGCCCCCTCCTTTCCCAGCAGAGCATCTGGTGGATTTGAACCGCATACCTCTGGGATTGCAGTGCAGCATCTTGCCACTAGGCCACCAGAGCTCCCTTGTGTGTTTCCCTTTGTTAGTGGCAGTTCTTATGCACATCTTCATGTTTTCTCTTTCTTTAAAGATATTGTGCTGATCATCCCCTAATTTTACACTGCTTTTTCTTTCATTCAATTTAAGATATACACATTTAATAGAGGAAGTGCCTTTTATGTCAACACTCAGATGTTAATGGACTAACTTAAGATTATCTGGAAGCAACTAATTCTTACTGATCTGATTACCCTAACAACTCACCTGACACGTTACAGCCAATGTATGACATATCTGGGTCTTCCCAGTTCGAAATTCTCCAAACATCTCTGTAATAGATCCAGTCTCAATTCCACCTAAAAGAAAAATAAGAAACACCTCTTAGTATAATATACATTTTATAAGCTACAATCATAGGTATTTTTTGCTGTTGTGTACCCTCATGTCAGAATTGCCTCATAGCTGATTCTCCAGCAGGTTTTCAAAGACAGTAAATCACACAGAAGGAGACTTCCTATCTTTTTTTTGTAGAGCAGCTGGTGGATTCAAGCCACATACCTTTGGGTTAGAAGCACAGCTCTTTACAACTAAGCCACCAGAACTCCCATATATATACATGTACAAAAACATACACACACACACCCCCCCCCCCAAAACATGCCACTTTTAGGTTAGCAATGCAATTCCCTACAGACTATACTACCAGAATTGACTCCATGGCAGTGCATTGAGGAATAAAGATGTTAAATTGCCTGACTCCATGTAATAAAGGCTGGGGTGGAGATTGAGAGGAGAGAGGTGCTGGACAGGAATCTAATATTAAAATGATTTCTACGCCTGTTAGTTGTCAGATGCTGCGGATTGGCTCTGATTCACAGTGATCTTCTGTACAGCGAAACAAAACCTCGTCTGAACCTTGTCATCCTCACATCTCTCAATCTCTGCTGTGTTTATTCATACTGTAGTCACTGAGTATCTTTCTCATTTTTGCTGACCCTGTACTTAACCAAGCATATCATCCTCCAGAACCTATGCTATTTTGTCATGTCCTGTTGAGTTGGAACTGAACTAGAGTTGACCCTCCAGCAATTTTCAGAGGCAGTTAACTGCACAGGAGATTGCCCATCCTTCTTCTGCGGAGCAGCTGGTGGGTCAAACCTTGTGCCTAGGAAATTGCAGCGCACCTTCTAAGCACCAGGCCATCAGAGCTTCCTGGTGCTATTAATGGAAAAGTGCTATTATGCAACATAAAGAACAAAAAAGTCGAATGATTAAAATATCTGTGGGGAGTAGAGTAATGGGAGTCAAATTTAACGTTACTTAATTTAGGATGTTGTAGTTGTGTGCCTTCGAGTTGGAACCAATGCATAGCTAACGTTCCAGCAGGTTTTTAGAGGCATCCTTCTACAGATCAGCTGATGGATTTGAACTATATGCCTTTGGGATTGCAGTGCAGGTTCTTACCACTAGGCTAGAATTCCTAATAGCAAGATTTTTTTAAATAGTTTTTTAAATAATTTTAATGAGTGTTTACAGATTTTCGATTTCCATTCATTCATTGCTGCACTTCTCTCCCTGCCCAGGCCCCCCCCAGCAATATTTTTTAAAAGTTCAAAAACTTTATAGCTGTCCTAGAAGTCTTCAAAATAATGGTAACTATATAGATAAAATGAATATTTAAACATGAAGTGTTTTAACCAATCGCTGGATTTTCAACCTTGTGATAGAGTAAAAGACTATAATGATGGTTATTTCCTTAAGCAGAGAGAGCTAGCAGTCCAAACGCATATTAAATTTATTTAATTTGTACGACTTTTTACTTATCTGTTTTTTATTTTTTAATGAGTCACACCATGTCCTCTAAAAGTTTTCCTTATTCACTGTGGATAAGTTCCACATCTCTTAATAATATTTATAACCTATATCCAAAATAGTTTTGTTCTATGACCTGGATCCTTTCCTAAATAGAATTCACAGCAAGGGATAAGGAATTACCACACCTTGAAGCAGTTTGTCAAGCTCTTTGGAACCAGTGGTAATCTGTATGATCTCTGATCGCCTTTGGTGGAATTCAGTTGCAGTAGTGAAACCCATTGGAACTAATTTAGCTGCTTCTGTCTGAGAAAAAAGAATATTAAATAAAAAAACTGTTTCTTAAAACAAGAACTAGGAAAATAATGAGAAGAGACAGCATCTAACACAATTTTCAAAATAATTTATCTTTAAAAAGTCATCAAAATACCAGCAATCCTAGCTCAGAGGTTGCTTTTTCTCTCAAACAATTTACAAATTTTTAAGCTCCACAAAAAATTTTAATCACCAATTCAAGCCACAAATGTGTGATTAAAAACAAAAATTTTAAATTATATCTCCCTCTCACTACTAAATTCACACGTATACATATTCCCACTGATTTACTACAGAGGTGACAATACAGTGCAAAACTCAACCACATCCTGAAGTCTGCTTTTCTTATTCTATCACTGATTATACTTTTATTGTGATCCTGTCTTCCACGATTGGTCTATAGGTTTATTAAAAAAATACATGAACAATGTTTAAGGAGCTCTGAGTTTCTGTTTGAGGTCATAACATGGTCAAGGGGAAACCAATCCTATGGAATACCCACTTGCGACAGAGGTAGAGCAGACAGGTCTAGTGTGAAAGCTGAACCAAATTACAAGTGAGAGAGAGATCTACCATCCTGGAGTAACTGCTGAGGAAGAGGGCCAAGTACAGAACATTAATCATCCCAGCTCAGGGCATGCCAAGAGGAAGGCCTATAGGGTGATGGGTAGAAACAGTGACTCTGAGAAGGATCTAAAAAGAGGTCTCAAGCTGGTTTCATCATTAATGTGTACTGCCCACACCACAGTGAACTGTGGCCAGAAAAGGGTTTCCCCGCAACCCCTATCTCAACTTCCCCACCACGACTTGCCCCATTTTGTCCTGGTGGGCTGTAGTGACCCCTTTGACACACTATATCTATCTAGCTCCCCTGCTCCCCAAACACTAGGAGTATGGCCACCCACAGCTCTGAGCTACAAGTGGCATTCTGAGTAACTGGCAGGAACTCTCAAATGGAACTCAGCAGCTTTGGTTTTAAGAGTTGCTCAGGCTTGGAGCTCACTCTAGAGTCTTCCAACTTTAAGGGTACACACTGCCTCAGATTATGCAGTGGTAGGAGGCTCCTCAGCTAATTTTTTTTAAAAAAATTGAAATTTTAATGAAAGTTTATTGAGACTTTGGATTTCCATTCATTCACTGTTGCACATTTTCCTCCCTGCCCACCCCTCCCCCTAGCTGGTTTTTCTCTTGAAAAGTAAAAAAACAAGAAACAAAAAAACCTTGATTATACAATCCCACTACCCAGTCTATTCCCCCATGAAGCTCTCATTCTGGACTTTTGTCATGAAAATAATACCTAATCATATATTCCTTTCAAACAGTTCTCTCCCTCATCTGTTTTAATGCAGTATACATAATTTATCCCCTCTTTTCTTAGAATCCCCCCAACTTCGATGTCAGTCCTGTTTTACAACAGTGGCACTATGCAGTATTTGTTCCTTTTGACTGAGATATTTCACTCAGCATGTCTTCCAGGGTCTCCCATTTTGTATAATACTTTGAGTTCCCTGTTTTTCAATGCAGCATAGTATTCCATTGTGTGAATATACCACAGCTTCTCTATCCATTCGTTTGTTGATGGGCACTTGGATTGTTTCCAACTCTTTGCTATTGTGAACAAAGCCACAATGACAGCAGTCGGGTGTATATGTCAATCCCGCGGAGGAACACGGCCTCGTGTAGTCGTTCATCATGGTCGTGCAGCAGCACCGGCGTGTGGTTGGTTCATGGGTGAGAAGCCCAGGGCTGGGACTCCCACGGCGCTGATATAGTGGCTGTCAGTGGCAGCGGGAAAGATCTCAGGCTCCAGAGTGTGGTTCATGTCCTTGCAGACCCCACTAAATGCTGTCCACCAGGGGTCTGAGTTGTCAGTACGGGTAATTTGGGGTTTGGTCCACTTCTGAGCAAACTCGAAGGCGACCCCCTCGCCAGCCACCTGGCACCAGCTCTGCAGCTGCTCCTCGAAAGCTTTCAGGTCCACGTCAGGTGCCACACGGAAGTCAAAGCTGGCACTCTTGGTGGCAGGTACGACGTTATAGGCCACGCCGCCCTCCAGCTTAGTCAAGTTCACCGAGGTCACAGCTCCCAGCTTCAGGTGGGGATTGGTCTGCAGCCTCTGTCTCTCCTTCTCCCGGAAGGCCAGGATCGAGCTCACAACTTTGTGGAGCTTCTCCACTGACGTATCCTCGATGAAGCGTGAGCCGTGGCCAGGCTTTCCGGTGCTTGTGACCCGCACCCACCAAGGGCTCCGCTCACTGTAGAAAACAGTGAAGGCACTGGTGGGGTTGGCCAGGCCCTCATCCACGGCAAAGGCAGCCTTCAGGGCCTGGAACTCAGGTCGCTGCACAAAAAGTTCCATGCCTCGGTGACCCCCGACCTCCTCATCTGGCACAAAGGTCATATGAATAGTTCTGGGGAAACGGTGACCCTCAGCCTTCAGCCTCCTCACAGCCTCCAGGTACTGGATACTGACACACTTCATGTCCTGGGCTCCTCTGGAATAGATGTAGCCCTCAGCATCCTTGAAGGTTTCAAAGGGGTCATGACTCCAGTGCTCATTGAAGACAGGAACCACATCCGTGTGGGAGTTGAGCAAGAGGGAGGAGAGCTTGGGGTTGGTGCCTGGCCAGGTCAACACTGTCACCACACGGCCAGGTGCCACCTCCACTTTCTGACAGCCCAGGCCCAGCTGACGGGCTCTATCCTCAAGGAAGGCCACAGCAGCCCCATAGTCAGGCTCAGGCTGGACAGTGCGGATGCGCAGGTACTGGCGGAAGAGTGTCACCGAAGAGTGCTCGTCCTCTGGGGTCTTGCTGGCCATGGTGTTTCGCAAGGAGAGCTCGTCCTGTCCGGCGCTGGAGACCGTGTTCCCTCTGCGGCGCCCACCCTGGACTGTGACCCGGTCTCAAAGTACTGCGCGGTCACGGGCTCAGACCCACCCTGACCCACCCACCACGTGGCTGGAGCGGGGGCGTGGAGTAGGGGGACCGAGAGCCGGGGCCCCTTCTGGTCCCAGCGCGGGCACCCAGCTCCGGCTCCGGGGTGCGGAGAGGGTCAGCAGCGGCTCGGATCCCAGACCGGCCGCGCACACGGTCCCCGTGGGCAGCCCTGGCCTGCTCTGCGGTGCGTGGCTCGCCAGCCCCTGCACTGCAGAGGGGCGGCGAGTCCACATACCAAAATTTTTATGGTATAGCATGAGCAGTACTCAGGAGTCAATTTATAACACACAGGTTCACATATAAAAATAGAACACCCCAAATCAGCACAGTAACCCAACAGTTTGGGGATGTTATTTTCTAATAAATCTATATTTACCCTCAAAAAACCTCCCAACAACTCAAGTCCATTTTGGAAGAATTACCAGTCAGAATGTTCCTTGGAAGCAAGGTCTCACATATTTTAGGCATCAAGAGGGATTACTCCCTGGGGAAGGATATCAAATTAGGTCAAGTGGAAGATCAGTAAAAATTTTGGTTATGTTCTCAAGGGCCAAATCTTAGAAAGGGATATTATACTTGGAAAGGTGGTGGTTGGGTGAAAGAGAGAAGACACTGAAAATATGGACTGATACAGTGAGTAAAACAACGGGCTTGAACATAGCAAAGATTGTGAGGATGGTTCAGGACTGAGCGAGGTTTTAACCTGTTGTACATAGAGTCGCTATGATTAGATAATATTCAAAAGCAAATAACCCATATTCTTTATTTAGAACAAACTCATAAAATACCTGAAATCAGTAAGATCAACCCAAATTAAGAAACTTCTTTTTTATAAATATTTGCTTTATACTATTTAAAAAGTTAGAGGTAAATCTAATTATAAGGGAGTATAATCCTGGGAAATTAGGTGCAAAATGAATATATGTTGAAAGAAAAATAGTAGTTATTAAACATTGGAAAGGGGTGAGGAAGAATAACAGTATAACAGAATGAAAATACTTATATTCTAGTCTTTGTTCTGCCATTATTGGCATGACTTTAGAGAAATAATTGAACCTTTGTGCCTAAGTTTCCTGAGCTGTAAAATAAGAGATAATACTGGCTCAGCATCATTAAGGTCAAGTGAGAATGTATGTGAAAGTGAGATTTCATATCTATAATGTAGAAAAAAAATTTAAAAAAATTAACTCATTACTTCATATTCACTTGAGTTGGTATAATTTTGTCTAAATAAAAACAAAAACATGCAAGATCTGAAATCACATTTTCTTACCATTATTAAAGAATTCTGCCTGTGATAAACTGACTGATGCACTATACAGAGGGCTTAATATAGAATTTTAATACTGAAACAATAAAAATTAGTTTTCTATTTGAAAGTAATATAGGAAATGTAGAAAGTTCATAATATACAGGCAAAGAAAAATTATTTACATTGCCACCATTCAGAATTAACAATGTAAATTATTTCAGTACATTTATCCCCAATTTATGTTCTATTCACACAGAGAATGTCCTGTTGATTTAGCATCTAGTAGTTCCTACATGACTCCTCATATAACAGAACATTCTCACCATTAAGCCAGTTTTAAAATCTTTGCTATATATAAGGCTACTGCTGCAAGCACTGTGTTCATCCATTTAATTGAGGTTGTCCACTTTTTAATTGACCCTCCACTTTACCAAGCATGATAACCTTCTTCAGGAACTGGTCCTTCCTGGTAACATCTCTCCAAAGTACAAGGATGAAGTCTTGCCATCCTTGGCTCTGGATGTACTTCTTCCAAGACAGATTTGTTCAGTTCTCGGGCAATCCATGGTGTATTAAATATTCTTTGTCAACACAGGAATTCAGTAGTATTAATTCTTCTTTGGTCTTCCTTAGTCACTATCGAGTTTTCATATGCATGAGGACTAAAAGTACTATGGCTGGGGTCAGAGGCACTCGAGTCCACAAGGTGCCATCTTAGCTTTTTAACACTCTAAAGAGGTCTTTTGGAGTAGATATGCCCAATATACATATCCACCTTTTAAAACAAAATTAAGCCATAGATATGCCTAAGAAATCCACAGCTGACAAGCTGATTCTGACTCAAAACAAAGTTCCTTTGGGTTTCTGAATCTGTAAATCTTAATGGAGACTGTCTATCTTTCTCCCAAAGAAAAGTTAATAGAATCTTTTGGTTATTAGCATAATACTTTATACCACCAATGCTACACAAATCAATGATAGCCTACTTTCTTTTATCTGGAGCATGTCTCTATGTAAAAAATACTCTTCTGAAAAAAAAATAAAATTTAACTTATGAAGGGAGGTTCACAGAATGATAATAAACTACTAACTGTGGTTATCTCTGAAAAGGGGAACAACATGGCAAGAGAACAAGGGACAGAGGAAAGAGGACCACCTTTCACTGTAAAACCATTGGCGCTATTCCTACTAGCGCCTCCCAACACGTGTTGTACTTACCAAAATTTTATCAGCTTTGGCTTCACTAATCCCTTTGATGTTTATTAGTTCTTTCTTTGGTGCATAAGCAACAGCCTCAACAGTATGGAACCCAGCTTCTTCCAATTTCTTTATATCATTAGCATTTATGCCACATTGCTACAGGGAAAGGAAAATTTTAGGTTATCTTAAGCTTTAGTTCTCTTATGTCTTGCCTACTATAGAGTTGCTTCAAAGAAATGTGATATACACAAAACTTTGAAAAGTATACTCCTATGTGTGGTGTATTTAATAACAAATTCCTCCAGCTGCTCCTTGGGACAAAGATACGGCAGTCTCCTCCCAAACATTTTACACCCCTGGAAATTCTATGGGATCTTACTCCATCCTATTGTCCTTATGAGTTGAAACTGACTTGACCATATGGATAAATAATAAACCATCAACTTTTTACTGTAAAAGTCAAGTTTTTAACTAGCATAAAGCCATGTCTGTGAAAATGGAATTTTATTGTGCATTGGGATTTAATTGGTAATTTCCAAACTTTTATGACTGTGACTCTAAGTAAGTTTTGAAAATCTGTGTCCTAAAAAAATAAATAAACCAAACCAATTCACTGTCATTGAACTGACTGTACTTACAGCAATCCTACTTAAGTACAGTGTTTCCCAATTTTATGACTCTGAATATAAAGAGTCATAAAAAAGAATCAAATCTTTTCCTACTTTCCCTCACATTTGTTTCAGGCCAAGTCAGCAATACATTGCAGCCACTGTAAAAAGAGTGAGACTGGTCTCCTCTCCACATTTCAAGGAGGGAAGTCCACCCCTTCGGAGATGTAACTTTGTAATAAATCCTTAATATTTTACCCCCCTGCCCCCCAAAAAAGTGAGACCTTAGCTCTAGAGCCTGATGTTATGTAGAATTCAAGACTAGAGCTTGGCTTTCCCCTTCCCCTTTCTCCTTGTCTATGACAGCCATCTTGTAAGGAACTTGAGCACACATCTAGTCAATAGAGGAAAGTTAGTCCTCTCTCCTCAACAGGCCAATGCCACTAGAATTCTCTGAACAGCTCTTTTATGTGAAGTACAGACAGCAGAGGACTCACTCTACTATTTTAGAACTTATTAGCTTCTGTCAATGAAGCTTTGAGAAAGAAAAATTATAAGTTACAAAAAAAAATATCTTTAAAAAAAAAGTCTTAGCAAATATGTTTGGATCCTACCTTAGCCTTTCCACAAGATCCTTTACAAATCTCCTGCTAACTCTATTTCATGTCATGACCTTATAGAAAAGCAACTGCTTACACACTGGCTGCTTGCTTCCATCATGAAAAGACTCTAGACCAGCAACATAATTCTCAAATTGTTGAGAAAACACATACCTCTAACCTTGAAATAGGCTGCGGGCCAAAGTTTTCTTCTTCCACTGAAGTATCCACATTTGCTTCGAGTTGCATCTGCATAGCCATTATACAGAATATTCTATTCTGAAAAATAAAGGGGGCCATCAGGAAACACTACATAAATATCAAGTACAGAGCTGTAAATGTAAGTTTAGCCATAAATGTCTTTCATGAATTGTCTTCCAAAACAATGTTTGTTTTCTGTTGTTGTTTTTTTAGCTTATTAACAGTATTCATCTTTCCTCAGTCAAAACCCTGAGCCAATCACTTTTCCCAGGCTGCCTGGGGAGTTACAGGGAAAGGAACACATAGGGTAGACGAGACATGGGGGCAGAAAACCAACAAACTATGGGAGATGGAGATGGCTCCTTCACATGGTAAAGAGGATCAGAAAGGCCACCATCAGGCAAAAGAGCCCCATGACCTCTGAGAGGGCAAAGCCCAGAACTATTGCTTCAGTGAAGGATTCCTGGCATAACCAATGATGAGGCTCCCAAACACAGTCCGAATCCTGGCTCCAGAGTGAGCTACTCCAACCATGGCAGCTCCAGCCCTAAGGAACGTGGCTGCTGTGTCAATATCCCTTGAGATGGTGCTCGCTTAGAAGCTGCGACTAGGGATAAATGGTTTTTTTCACACACAGTAATCATAATTCTCAAAGTAGAATCCTTCAAAATCTGCACTCATTTACCAAACACCTAATATTTATTATTTATCAATGGAATATATATAAAAAATAAATAAAACTTGCTTCCCATTCTCAAGGAATATAAAGCAAGGGAGTAAGGGGGAATAGTCAGTTAAGCTCACATTTTTAAGAAGCAAGGATGTCTTAGTTCTTCTGAAGTCTTTCTGATAAAACTAACCAGTTAGCTGCCTGCATAGATGAAGGAGGCTGTGAAAGGTTTGGGGTTTTTTTCCCTGCAATGAATAGGTCAATGTTTAGACTAAAAACCTAGTAAATAATCCTTTAGACACTGAGTTTCCTGGTATGTCTAGAACTGAAATACCACAAGTGTGTAACTTTAACAAAGAAATTTTATTCTCTCCAGTTAAGAGACTCTAATGAAATAAACTTCATTTCCATCAAATCAGAACTAACTCATAGTTGATCCTTTAGCAGGTTTTCAGAGACTAAATCACATAGGAGGAGACTGGCTATCTTTCTGTCGTGGAGCAGCTGGTGAATTCGAACCATGTGTCTTTGGGCTGACAGCACAACTCTCTACCCACTAGACCACAAATGCTCCCTTCTAAGAGGCCGTAAGTCTGAATTTAGAGTGTATGCTCCAGCAGAAGGCTTTCTTTCTGTTCTGTGTGTCGTCTTTCAGTATTTGTAGATGTGGTGTACACCTTGGAGATTGTCATGTATCTTGGTACTAATTACTCTTCTCCCAGGTGTCAGAAGTTCCCAGCACTCCTTCACTCTTATTCTTGGTAGTAGGTTTCACCTTTCTTGTTTGCTTTTTTTTCCCTTCTTCTTTTTCTTGTTTGCTTTTTAATCTTTTTACCTTTTATAAGATCAAAAGTGATAAAAGGACACACTCTAGGGAAAACTCCTCTTACATCCTATGAGGGTTATGACTGGATTAAATGTGTTGCATTCCATCCCAATCTCTTTACAACAAATTGACATCATAGTGCTTAATTATATTATTACATAATTACCAATAAGCATCATGGCTCAGCCAAGTTTTAACACTGTTTTGACAATTATGAGATATCATCTCACCCCAGTAAGAATAGCAAAATTTAACAGAGCAGCAAATAACAAATGCTGGCGAGGTTGTGGAGAAACTGGAACCTTTATTCACTGTTGGTGGGAGTATAAAATGGCGCTTTCTCAAAAAAATTGGAAATAGAAATATCATTTGACCCAGCAATTTCGCGACTGGGAATTTACCCTAAAGAAACCGTAACTGCCACCCAAGTAGATATATGCACACCTGTGTTTATTGCTGTTTTGTTTACAATAGCACAGAATTGGAAACAACATAAGTGCCCATCAGCAAACAGATACAGAAGCGATGGTACATTAACTATGCTGCTTTGAAAATCAAGGAACTCATGAATTATACAAAATGTGTGACCCTGGAAGACATTATACTGAGTGAAATATCTTGGTCACAAAAAGATAAATACAGCATAATGCCACTGTAATAAAACAGGACTGACATAGGGTCTAGGGAAACTAAGAAGAGAGGATAAATAATCTAAATGGCATTGAGACAGACGAGGGAGAGAACTGTATAAAAGGAATATATAATTAGGTATTACTGGCATGACAAGAGTCCAGAATAAGAGCTGCATAGTAAAGTAGTCTGAGGAGAGAGACTGTATAACAATGAAAGAACTTTTTTCCCAAAGAAAAAGGCAATTAGGGAGGTAGGGAGGAAAATGTACAATAATGAACTATTAGAAACCCAAGTTCTTTATAAACTTTCAGTTAGAAAATAACTGACTCACTGGGATAGACTGAGGCTTTGAATGTCTCTTTATATTAGTATTTCATTTATATCTCATAAGCTTTTGATATAAGAATTCAAGATACTAAAGAGTTGAACAGAAGATTCCAAAAGGCAGCTCGGAATGACAAAGCAAAATACTACAATGAAATGTGCGAGGAGCTAGAGTCAGAAAATCAAAAGGGCCGAACTCACTCAGCATTTCTCAAGCTCAAGGAACTAAAGAACAAATTCAAACCTAGAGTTGCTATAATCAAGGATGCTTTCGGCAGAATATTAAATGATCCAGGAAGTATTAAAAGAAGATGGAAGGAATATACTGAGTCATTATATAGAAAGGAATTGGCAGATACAGAAGAATTTAATGAAATAACATATGAGCAAGAGCCTATGGTGATGAAGGAAGAAGTTCAAGCTGCTTTGAAGGAAATAGCAAAAAATAAGGCCCCAGGAATAGATGGTATACCAGTTGAAGTACTTCAGATAGAGATGTTGCCCTGGATGTGCTCACCAAGTTGTGCCAAGAAATCTGGAGAACAACCACTTGGCCAACTGACTGGAAGAGATCTATATTTGTTCCCATTCCAAAGAAGGGTGACCCAACTGAGTGTGGAAACTACAGAACAACAACACTGATTTCACATGCAAGCAAGATTCTACTGAAGATTATCCAAAAACGATTAGAACAGCACATCAGCAGAGAACTGCCAGAAGTCCAGGCTGGGTTTAGAAGGGGTCGTGGTACTAGGGATATTGTTGCTGATGTTAGATGGATCTTGGCTGAAAGCAGAGAATACCAGAAGAATGTCTATCTGTGTTTCATTGATTATGCAAAGGCATTTGACTCTGTGGATCATAACAAACTGTGGCTGACTCTGAGAAGAATGGGGATCCCAGAACATTTAATTGTGCTAATGCGAAACCTATACTTGGACCAAGAGGCAATAGTCAGAACAGAGCAGAGTAACACTGCATGGTTCAAAATTGGGAAGGGTGTATGCCAGGGATGCATCCTGTCTCCATACCTTTTCAACATGTATGCAGAGCAGATTATCCGAGAGGCTGGGCTCTATGAAGAGAATTGTAGCATTAGGATTGGTGGAAGATCTATTAACAATCTGCGTTATGCAGATGTGACAATCCTGCTTGCTGAAACTGAGGAGGACCTCATGCACTTGCTGCAGAGGGTCAAGGACTGCAGCCTTCAGTATGGACTGAGGCTCAATGTCAAGAAGACAAAGATTCTCACCCCTGGACCAATTGGCAGCGTCAGGATGGATGGCGAAGAGATTGAGATTGTTCACAGCTTCAGTTTGCTCGGCTCCACAGTCAACACTCTTGGCACCAGCAGTCAGGAAATCAAAAAGCCTATCACGATGGGAAAGTCTGCTGCTAGGGACCTCTCTAAAGTACTCAGGAGCAACGGTGTCTCTCTGGAGACTAAGGTGCACCTGATATAGGCCATGGTCTTTCCAATCGCTTGTTATGCATCAGAGAGTTGGACAATGACTAGGGAGGACAGAAGGAGAGTGGATGCCTTTGAGCTGTGGTGCTAGAGAAGAGTACTGAATGTACCATGGACTGCCAGGAAAACAAACAGATTCATCTTGGAGAGGATTAAACCAAGCTACTCCTTGGAGGCAAGGATTCTGGGGCTTCATCTGACATACTTTGGACATATTGCCAGGAGGGACGGATCCTTGGAGAGGGACATCATGCTTGGGAGGGTGGAGGGACAGCGCAGGAGGGGAAGACCCACTATGAGATGGATTGATTTGGTGACTGGGGTAATCGGGATGGGTGTGTCGGAGGCAGTGCGACAATTTAGGGAGAGCAGGATTTAGGGCTGTTGTGCATAGGGTCGCTATGAGTTGCAAACACTGGAGGGCACATAACAACAACAACAACAACTTTAAATTTTATGTTGAAACAATGAAACATTTTGCATTGCTTTAATATGAGCTTTAACTCTGTATCCTACAGCTCTTAGTGAACTATTTTAAAGAATCAGTGTAGTCAGTTTGAAGAGATTAAGTACCTGTGCTTTACAATAGCTTAGTGCAATTTTGCTAACCCTGTGCTTTCTTCTTTATTTTTCTGTGACAAGAGGCAACAGAAATGAAAATATCAGATGTTAAGATTATATCCTATTTATAGTATCAGATCCTTTTTCCTCCCTGTGTACAATTATAGGATTATAATCTAAACTTGAATTTTTAGACCACAAGGCATTACAAAATAGTTTTAAATAAGATGCCAAAATTACTATACATAAAAGCTTAATGTTTGTAAACATATCTTTTTTTTAGTATTTCGTTTCTAAGTGGCTGCTACAAAGGTCACATTCAGGTTGCTTTTGATTTATGCAAATATTTGTAAATTGGTCAGAGCCTATAAATGTAAATATAAAAAGTAATCTTGGCAAGCTCTGGTGGCCTAGTGGCAAGAAGATGTACTGCAATCCCAGAGGTGCACAGTTCAAATCCACTAGATGCTCTGCTGGAGAAGGAGGAACAATCTCCTCCTGTACCAGTCAGATCTGATTTGACGGTACACACACAAGAAATAATAATAACAAAAAAAAAAGTAATCTTGAAATCAGT